TGAAAGAGCCCAAGGCCAGGCTCTCTGGGAGCCCAGGGCACTTGGTGGCGGGCACAGAGGCATCAGCTGTTAGGAGCAAAGTACCAGAGGCAGCCACAGCCGCCAGTAAGTATGCAGCTCTCTCCAGCCCCACCACTTCTGCCTTCAGCCTCTTGAGGCTGTGTGAAAACCGCCCAACTGAACCCAGGAATGCAATAGGCAAACATCTGAAGTGAAGTTTGTTCTTTTTTTATGGTTTTGTGTGATTTTGAGTGGCTGGTTATGCAACAAGAGATAACTACCACAAGAAAGTTGCAAAGGGTTAGGAAATAGTAGCAATTGGGGCCAAAATGGATTCAATCTCCTGCAGCTCATATAGCTCTCCCAGGTCCTTCTCCCAGAAGTGATTTCTGAGCTCAGTGCCTAAGTAAGCCCGCATGACCCAAAACCAAAAGATAGTAACAATTAAATACCAACTTCCAGCTGCTGCCAGTTGTTAGCATGTGAGAACATTAGACCCTAAGTTTCTGCATTTTTTTTTAATATTCCACAAGTGAGTACAATCATTCTATGTCTGTCCTTCTCCTCTGACTCCATCCTCCTGCTCTGCATGATACTCTCCATGTCCATTTATAAGCAAATTTCATGACTTCATTTTTCCTAACTGCTGCATAGTATTCTATTGTATAGACTTACTATAGTTCCTTTAACAGCTGTCGGTTCTCAGGCACCTGAGTTGTTTCCAGATTCTGGCTATTGTGAATAGTGCTGTGATAAACATAGAAGAGCAGATGGCATTTCTGCAGTGTGTTTTTGGTTCCTCCCAGGGTATATTCCCAGAAGTGGTATTGTGGCGTGGCATGGAAGCTCAATTTCTAGCTTTTTGCGGAATACCCATATTGTTCTCCAGAAAGTCTGGACCTGTTGGCATTCCCACTAACAGTGAAGGAGAGTCCCTTTCTCCTCGCATCCACACCAGCACTGGATGCTCTTGCTCTTTTGAATGTGTGCCAGTCTCTGTGGCACACATAAAAAAAATACATAAAATACATTAAAAAACATAAAAAAGATGATATCTCACTGTTGTTTTGATTTTCATGTTCCTGATGATTAGCGAAGTAGAGCTTTTTTAAATGTGTCTTTTGGCTATTTGTATTTCTTCTTTTGATGCTTCCTTTTTTGTTCTACAAGATTAGCCCTAGTTCCCTAGCCCAATTTCCACTTTTGGTGAGAACAAACAGTTTTTTTTTTTATCATCGTCCTTCTGAGTTACTTCACTTAACATGATATCCTCCAGTTCCATCCAAGTTGCAGCAAATTAGATCATTTCTTCTGGCTACAAAGTAATGCATTGTGGCTATATAACACACCTTTGTTATCCACTCATCTGCCATTGAACACCTAGGTTGATTTCATATCCTGGCTATTTTACTAAGTGCTACAATGCACAATGGTGTGTATGTGTTCTTTCAACTGAATGTTTTTGTGTCTTGGGGCTAGCTGCCGAGAAATAAAATTGCTAGGACATACAGAAAATGTATTCTTACTTTTTGGAGAAAATTCCATGCCATTTTCCATACGGGTTGAAGCACACAACATTTCCACCAGCAGTGGATGAGAGTTCCTTTTTCACCATATCCCTGCCAACACAGATTGTTTCCAGTCCCTTTGATATGTGCCATTCTCACTGATGTGAGATGATATCTCGTTATTGTCTTGATTCAGATTTCCCTGAGAAGTGATGATGAAAAAGTGTTTCATATACCAACTGGATATCTGTCTGTTTTCTTCGGAGAAGTGTCTGTTTATTTCCTCTCCCCATATTTCTTTTTTAATAGGGTTTTTATATTTTTGTTGTTGATCTTTGTGAGTGCTTTGTGTATCTTGAATAGTAACCCTTATTCGATATGTTGAGCGCAAATATTTTCTCCCATTGGTACTGTACCTTTTAGTTTTAGCCTGTAGTTCTTTTGCATGCAGAAACTTTTTTTTTTATTGTTATTAGTGAAACACCATGAGGTACAGTTGTAGATTTACAATTTTTTGTGCTTGGGTTTCAATTATACAATGATCAAATATCCATCCCTCCACCAGTGCCCCTTTTCCACCACCATGGATAATATCCCTCCCACCCCTATTCCCCCCATCCCACCCTGCCTCTGTGGCAGGGCAATCCCTTGTGTTCTCCCTCTCCTTTTGGGTGTTGTGGTCTGCAAAAGAGGCACTGAGTGGCAAACATGTTCAGTCCATAGTCTACTTTCAACATGCATCTCCCCTCCTGGGAGGATCCTCCAAACACCCTTTATTTGGTGCTCCCTTCTCTATCTGAGCTGCCCTTTCCCCTAGAATGCCCGGCTGGCCTCTAAGCTATGGAGTAATCCTCCTGGTGCTGATCTCAGCTATTCTTGGGTATTAATCTCATATTTTGTTACTTTATATCCCCCAGATGAATGCAATCTTTCTATGTCTATCCCTCTCTTTCTGACTCATTTCACTTAGCATGATACTTTCCATGTTATACCACTTGTATGTATATTTCATGACTTCATCTTTTCTAACAGCTACATAGTACTCCATTGTGTAGATGTACCAAAGTTTCTTTAACCAGTCATCTGTTCTTGGGCATTCAGGTGCAGAAACTTTTTAAATTTGTTGTAGTTTCATTTATTTTTGGTTTTGCCAATGGAATTATATCATAGAAAATACTTTTAAAGTTCAAGTTTTGTAGCATTCTGCCTATGTTTCCTTTAATGTATTTCATAGATTCTGGTATAATCTTAAGGTCTTTGATCCACATTGAATTGACTTCTTTGTTAAGGTGTGAGATATGGATATAGCTCCATTTTTTTTTTTTTGCATATGGTTATCCAGTTTTCCCAAAAACATTTGTTGAAGAAGTTATCTTTACTTCTTTTCATGTATCCACTTTTTTTCAAAAATTAGTTGACCATATATCTGGGGATTTGCCTTTGGGTCCTAGAATCTAACCCGTTGGCCAGAGTCTATCCTTATTCTAATTACATGCTATTTTTATTATTATAATTGTATAGCATAGTTTTAAATCAGGTAATGCAATACCTCCCAATTTCTTCTAAGTGTGGTTTTGGCTACTTGGATTGTTTTATGATTCTGTACAAACTGAGAACTAGGACTTCTGTTATCTCCAACCATGTGTCATAGTTATCAACCCAGAGATGGAATGAGCATGCATTTTGATTCAGTTACTCTAAAAGAAATTCTGTCGTGTGTTCCACTGATTTGACTTACAACTAAAAAAAATTTAACTTTATTTAAACAGCATGACTTACAAAGTTCATAAAAGTAAAGTAAAGTAAAGGCCCTCCCGTTGTTCATCAATTTGCTCGAGTGGGCCCAGTAACATCTCCATTGGAGACTTTGTTGTTACTGTGTCTGGCATATGGAATACGTCAAGGGGAGCTTGCCAGGCTCTGCCATGCAGAGCGAGATACTCTCGGGAGCTTGCCGGGCTCTCCGAGAGGGGCAGAGGAATCGAACTCGGGTCGGCCATGTTGGCTGCGTTCAAGGCAAACGCCCTACCGCTGTGCTATCGCTCCAGCCCTTACAAAGTTCATAATACAGCTATTTTGGGTATTCAGTATTATTTTTGTTTGTTTGTTTGTGGGTCACACCTGGTGATGCACAGAGGTTACTCCTAGCTCATGCATTCAGGACTTACTCCTGGCGGTGCTCAGGGGACCATATGGGATGCTGGGAATCGATCCCTGGTCGGTCGCGTGCAAGGCAAACGCCCTACCCGCTGGGCTATCACTCCAGCCCCATTATTCACTATTCTAACGCCAGTTCTACCACCCATGTGCAGGAACCTCAACCTCAAAGTTAAACAACTCAGTCATCATCACTGTCCTCCCGTTGTTCATCGATTTGCTCGAGCGGGCCCAGTAACGTCTCCTTTGGAGACTTTGTTGTCACTGTGTTTGGCATATCGAATACAACACGGGGAGTTTGCCAGGCTCTGCCGTGCGGGCGAGATACTCTCGGTAGCTTGCCGGGCTCTCCGGGAGGGGCAGAGGAATGGAACTCCGGTCGGCCATGTTGGCTGCGTGCAAGGCAAACGCCCTACCTGCTGTGCTATCGCTCCAGCTCCATGGGGAGTAACTTGGGGAGTTCTGTATGTCTCACAACCCACTTGTCTAGTCAACTGAAATCCCTATCTTTTAGGCTACTAGCTTTCTTCTCTGTGAGTAACACTTTTTCTTGGTGAGTTTTGCTAATCCTGATTGTAATTCTTGTTCTCTATAATAGAACTGAGTATGACACATTTCATAACTTCAATGAAGATAAAAACGCAGAAGGTTTTTTAAAAATAGTGACATAATAACATTGTTCTACACGAAATAACAAAACGTAGTGTTTTAGGACTGGTACCTATTGTAATTTCAAATGGTGAGAGGAATGCCCAAGTCCTCTCACTGACTTGCTGCCCAGATGGACTGGTCAGGAATTCTGGCATAGCTCCCCTCCCCATCTGCTTTGCAGGACCCCCCCCCCAAAAAAAATTCCACAAAAACAAAACTTAATGTAAAATTCACACATGTTGTAACAGGCAATATAGAGTAAATTAATTCGTGCGTGCTAAGGGAGCAGGCTTGGGAGGTTGTGTGGGTGTGGAGCTAGAGACATAGGTGAAAGTACGGGCCCATGGGTGGTGGAACTAATATTAGAATACCGAATACCCAAAACAGCTGTATTATGAACTTTGTAAATCATGCCGTTTAAATAAAGTTTAAATTTAAAAAAATTAATTCCACTTGTGTTAGGCGCCAAGCGTAAAAATAAATAAAATAATCAAATAAAAGGAGGCGGGGGAGTGGGCATAATGCTATCAGCTCCAGGTGGGTGGCCCGATTCAGTGGCCTGCAGCCACGACTTTACTTGCGCAGCCGCAGGCGCCAGCGACGCCCCGCCCCGCCCCGCCCCCAGCCGCCAGAGGGCGCACGCGCCGCGGCCCCGCCCCAGGAGCGCGCGCGCCGGGGGCGTTCCCGCGGCCAGACATCAGCAATCTATCGGGGAGCGGGGTCGGCGCGGCGTGCGTGACGGCGGCCCGGGGCCCTCGGCGAAGAGGGGCCGGCAGCGCGTTTCCAGGTCACGGGGTCGGGCTCCCAGAGCTGTAGCAAGCAGCGGCACGAGGAGGACGATGGCGGACAAGCTGTACCGGGTCGAGTATGCCAAGAGCGGGCGCGCCTCTTGCAAGAAATGCGGCGAGAGCATCCCCAAGGACTCGCTCCGGATGGCCATCATGGTGCAGGTGCGGGCGCGCCGGCCACTTTGTGCGCGCCCGCGGCTCCGCGTGTCCGGGCCTAAGCGGAGCGGGGCCCCGAGTCGCGGCCCGCCGTCAGCGGTCTCGTGCCCCTTCCCGGAAGGTCTTGCCGATCTTGCAGGAAAAGCCCGGGAAATACAATCTGCAAGCGGGCGAGGCCGTGTGCTTTGTGAGATCGGGAGCCGCTTTCCGAGCCGCGGCTCTGGCCGTGGGGGGTTGGGGGGGGGCGGGGAAGGTTGTTTCTTTCTCGCCCCTCCCCCGAAGCGGGCGGAAATGAGTGCGTGGTCTTGGAAGCGCGTCCGGGAAAGATCACAAGCCTCGGTGGAGGGCGGCTGGCGGAGGGCCGGGGGCAGGGCGGGCAGCGGCTAACTTTTTGCTATCATTTCAACACCCGCTCACCCTCGTTATTTTAATCATGCAAAACTGGGCAGATGGGTGCCATATCTGTTCCGTGCATTCCCTTGGGGCCGTCCTCCCCGGCATATTCTGATGCATTTACAGCTCTGTGACTTACGGGGGCCTTGAGGGGGCTCCCCGTCTGGGCTTCTGAACAGACCGGGGTGGGGTGAGGGGTCGCCTTCCCATGGACCGAGGCGGCGGAGATGGCAAGAGGGGGTGTGTGTGGGAGTGCCCCTGCCCTGGCTGGCGGTTCCTGCTTCTCCCAGGCCCCAGATCGCACATCCCCCCTCCCCGCCAGCTGCAGTTGGTTCTTCGGGCTCAGCGCTCTTCGTTAGACTAATTTGGTTTTCCCATGTTGTGGCCAGGCAGTCAGATGCTCCTGGCGTGACCCACGAGCCTCCCCAGCAGTCTCAGTACTAGGGTGGAGGAGTGTGGACACCAGCTGCAAAGTTGAGTTTAGGGTTTTGCCTTGGTTCAGTCTTTTTCCGTAGTCTGGTAGAGACGGGAGCGGAGGCTCTGCCTTCTGGGAGAAACCTGGTCATTTCCAGGCTCTGTAGCGGAGTGCAGAGAGGCTCCAGCAGGGAGCTTCCGGCTTCCAGGATGTTGGGGGTCTGGTGAGGTTGCGGAGCAGGGCTGGGAGTCCCGGCAGAGCCGAGTGAGCCTCCAGGAGTGCCCAGGCTTCCTGCAGCAAGATGGGCCAGACAGATCGGCAAATCTCCACTTTGAACTTTACCCTGGATGTGTGGGTGGCCTGATCTGGACAGACCGGGGTGGGGTGAGGGGCAGCAGCCCCCTCCTAGTGCAGGACGATCTTTTAAGTTATCTTTTTGGTTTCGGGGTCACCCACAGCAGTGTTCAGGAATCACTCCGCGCGGCCCTGGGGGACCGTTTACGGTGCCAGGGATCAAATCCTGTTTGGTCAGTGTAAACGCCCTTCTCTGCACTCACCCACCCCAAGGCCCCGAGTGCGGGGCTCTGAACCCTGGTTCGGTAAATGGCAGCTCCAACTCGAGGTTTGGGGTTTAACTGACAATAAAATGTTCCATCTCGGGCTGGAGAGATAGTACAGCGGTTAAGTCAAGGCTCTTGCCTTCCAAGTGCCAACCAAGGATTCCATCGCCGCAAACCATATATAGTCCCCAGAGCATCCCAGGTGTGACCCAAAAAAGATAAAGCCCTGGGGAGGGAGCTATAGTACAGCAGGTAGGGCCTCTGCCTTGCACGCTGTTGACCCAGGTTTGATCCCTGGCATCCTATTTGGTCCCTCTGCACCACCTGAGTATCTTCCGGGTGTGGCTCCCAGGCAAGCCGGAAAAAATCCGATCTCACCTTTAGTGATCTGTATGAAAATTGTGACCTATTTTGGGGGTGGGGGGGGGGGGTGAATCGAAGGCCTGCTAACGGTATCTCATTGGTGTCTGTCACCAATAATTTTTTTCCTTTTCTTTTTTGGTTTATTGGACCACACCTCAGGGATCACTCCTAAACTCTGGAGACTCTTGAGCTCAGCTCAGTGCCAGGGAATCAAACCCTGGTCGCCTGCATGCAAGAGGCAGGTGCCCTGCTACGGTATTACTCTGGCCCCCAATAATAGTTATTTTCATTCTTCCTTCAGCTATTGGGGATTTCTTGAAAATTCTGTTATTGTCATTGCTATTTCCAGCAGTATTTATAGGGGGCTATGAACTGCCTATAGATCTTGCTATTGACTGCTTTATTTAACGCTCATGGGTCATTCCTAGCTTAATAACCATAGTGCTTTTTCCAGTATTTAATGTAATCCGCTTCCTTTATGCATCTGCTTACTTGGTTTTACATATTAAAATTTTACATTGCTGATTTTGCCAGTAGCCAGATGTTCCTGTTTTGTTGGGGAGGGATGGAAAGCTTAGATGCAGGTGGTGAAAGTGGGGGAGAAGGTGTTAAGGGTAGCACGGGTTTACCCTACCGAGTGACTGAGTGACGATATCAGAACCAATAAAAGCCTGACCTGCTGGCCCCTACCTAGTTGGGCTTTCTTGGTAGTGAAGGAAGTGTGCTTGGGGCCCGGAGCGATAGTACATGGGTAGGGCATTTGCCTTGCACGTGGCTGACCTGGGTTCGATCCCGGCATCCCATATGGTTCCCCAGCACCGCTGCCAGGAGTAATTCCTGAGTGCAGAGCCAGGAGTAACCCCTGAACATCGTTGGGTGTGACCCAAAAAGCAAAAAAAGAAAAAGTTGTTTTCTTGTTCTAGTGATCGAAGGTGAGTTTTTCTTTAGTATGTCTAGTTGGTCCTGTGGGCTGTGCTGGGAGGTGGGGGGGGGGGGCAGTCAGAAAGAATCCTGTACTTGGAGAGTTTGAGGGATTCTGTGACTTCACCAACCCAGGTTCATCCAATGCCCCCTCCCCCAGCCTTTGCACTGGGGGAGTGATCTCTGAGCACCACCCGGTGTAGCTCCAAAGAAGAAAGAATCCTTTCTTCTCATTCTTAGACTTAAATACCGTCATTTACAGTTGTATAGGAGGATTGTCCTGGGACTCTTACCTGATTCTTTAGCGGGAGTGCCTGGGGCAGCCTTTTGACTGGGGAGAGGAGGGGCTGAGCCCTAGTCGGGCTGCCTCACTTACTGGTTGGCCTTGGTCTTTGGAGGGGGTCGTTGCAAGCCTGGAGAAAATGGCTTGAGGCCCTCACACACCTGGTTGTTGCTTCAGTTGAGTGTTTGCTGAACATACACACGCACGCACGCACACGCGCTATGCTGCTGGCCGCTGTGGGGTACCTGAGACTTCTGAGGCCCTTCCTGCCACTGAACACACACACACACTCTACTGCTGGATTTTCAGCTCTTTGGGGATGCCCCCAGGGTCAGTGCTGTGCCTGTCCTTGAGTCACAGCTCACTGGAGCTTGACCCTGCATCAGATCATAAGACTCGTGGTGTAAGTATAGGGGACCCCAAAGGAGTGAGGCAGAAATTCCCCCCCCCCCCCAGCCTAGCGGGGGTTGCTGCTCCACGGGCCGCCTTGGACCTGAAGACCAGAGGATGCTGGCGCCCCCCAGCCTGCATGAGACGCCAGCTGCTCAGGTTGTGGGGGCTGCCTGGTCAAAGGGGTGAGCCGGAGCACGAGTGGGCTCGGGGGTGCTTCTGGCATGCGATGGGGGTACCAGGAGCATCTTCTGTTATTGGATTCAGAAGGCGGCTCTTTCCCCATGAGAATTCCTCCATCCAGGCTGGGTGGAGGAATTCTCATAGGACAGCAGGGAAGGTGCCCCCCAAAAGACTGAGGCCTTTGCCACTAGAGCAGCCAGGCCAGTTCACTCTGCTGTGAGAGCTGCAGGCGTGCTCTCCCACTCGGGGAGTGGGGTGCTTCCTCACCCAGAAACAGTGACCTCCGTGAGCTCTGGTCTCAAGGCTGTCTGGAGGTGTAACCGTTTTTGTGTAGGAGTGGGGTTGTGGGCAGGACCCCCCTCAAACTCCATCTGTGAGTTCTGTGTCCTGTGTATTTTCTGCACCGTTAGGCTATTTTCATTCCGTCTGCCTGGTGTTTGGACTAGAGCAGATGTTTGGGGCCCTCTTGGCAACCACCAGTATTTTTTTTTTAAGTTGTGCTTCCTGCTGGGCAGTAGAGTGGCAAGAGCCCGGGTGCACGGTTCCAGTTGGGGCTGAGTCACTTGCCGTCTGTGTGACATTGCTCCCCTCAGTGATCCGTGACGAAGGGGCTGCCGGTTTCTGCCAGAGATAGTTTGAGGGCGCCAGGGACTGAATCTGCACTGTCGTAGGTCTCACTCTGCCCAGTCAGGCGACACAGAACCTAAGCCCAATGCCAGCACCTGTCCATGTACAATGTGTCAGGAAAGAATGCTGTCAGAAAGATGCTTGGTGGGGAGGGCTGCATTTCCCACCCCTGAGAGAGCCCCTTCCTGGGGGCCAGGGAGTTCTATGACCTGCCCTCTGGTCTGTGTGGCCTCTGAGCTGTTCTTCATTCTCTGGAAGGTGATTTCTTCTATTCACATCTGTCTGGCTGCTGGGCACTTCGGACCACTGTTGGGGCGCTTGGAGCCACTGTTGGGGTGCTTGGGCACTTTTCTGACCCATTTTCTCTCCTGGCTCATTATCTGGGACTTGCCCCTTCATGTTGCAACCTTAAAGGCCCCATGAGCCACTGGGCAGCCAGCTTCTGGCAGAGCTGGAGGAAAGGTCCCACAAGTCCCCGTTCCTCCGAGAGGACAGGCTCTGCCACAGCAGTGAGCACTTTTCTGCGTCACCAGGAAAGATCAGACCGGGGGTGCTCTCATGCCCTCCACCCCCAGCTCTTCCCCAGGCATCAGCGGGCAAAGGCGAGGCTGGTCTCTGCACAATAGGAAACGGGCGCGTTGTGTGCCCAAGTCTGAGGCTTAACTACACGTTTCTCTCCCGCCAGTCACCCATGTTCGATGGAAAGGTGCCGCACTGGTACCACTTCCCCTGCTTCTGGAAGGTTGGCCACTCCATCCAGCAGCCTGACGTCGAGGTAGACGGGTTCTTGGAGCTACGCTGGGACGACCAGCAGAAAATCAAGAAGACAGCGGAGGCTGGAGGCGTGACAGGTGTGTGCGGGGCTGGGAGGTTCTGAGAGTAGTGGGCCACCCCTCCACACACGTGCACGTAGAGAACACAGAGCTCAAGGTACTGATTCGTTGGCAGAGGGCCAGTTGCTGGGTCTTCATTCGCCCAGAGGCTGGAGGCGTGTGATGGTGCCACGTGTGTTTTAGCTCTAGGTGTGCAGAAAGTATACTGAGTTCCTGTCCACAGGGACACAGGCTCGGCCACCATCCATGTTTTCCCATCAGAGTCTCCATTTAGATTTGATTTGATTTGATTTTGGTCATTGGGCCACATGCAGCAGTGCTCAGGGCTCACTCCTCGCGGACTTGGGGGTCCATATGGAGAAGCAGGGATTGAACTTGGGTTCAGCCTCGTGCAAGGCAAGTGCCCTATCTGTGGTATTATTTCTGTGGCTCCCCCATGCGTTTTAAGAATTCTTTCAGGCTGGAGAGAGAGTACAGAGAGTAGGAGGTGCTTGCCTTACACACAGCTGACTGGGTTCAAGCCCTGCCAGGAGTTAGCCCAGAGCAGCACCGAGTTTATCACCCCAAATCCCCTAAGCCTCCCCCTAAAAATCATTTCACTGATGCAGTGGACTGAAGGTCGCACACTTGTGGCCCTGGAATCTCAGGTCTACAATGTGGGGTGGTGCGGGGCTCAGGCTTGAGGTCACACCCACAGGACCACCTCCGGGCCCCAGGTTTCAGGAATCTTTTGCATGCTTGGAATACCAGTCCTTTCTAAGAGGTACCTTGTGCAAACAGATTCTCCTAGCTCACAATTTGCTTCGTCCAGTCTTTCTCATTCTCCTCAGACTATCTTTCATAGAGCAGAAGTTTTAGATATTTTGTTTGTGCTGGTGGTTTTGGTGTCGGGGATTGAGCCCAGGGATTCAAGACATGTGATGCCTGTGTTTATTTACCACAGAGCTGGATCCTTGGCCACAGAAGTTTTACATTAGGCCCCCTCATTACTGCTGATTTGATATGTGCTGGAGGTGCCAAACAAGTCTAGTTGACCCCAGCTGCCTTCAAGGCATGTGTTTGAACCCTGTACTGTCCTCCACCCCCCAGACTCACAGCTTTCAGCCTGTGGGGCAGACACCCCACCAAGTGAGCTGTCCCGGGGAATCCCTAGAAGTTTTTTGTTTCAGTGATACTCAAATTAGCCATTGTGTCTTTGGTGACTTGTATCTCAGTGTTGTGTCTGAAGCTAGCTGAGTATCCAGATTCATCTCCGTATTCTCCTGTGCTATCTCCTCTAAGAGTTTTCAATTTCATCTAAATTTATCATTGAGCCTCTTTATGGGAGAGGGCATTCCTGGCCATGCACAGGGCTTACTCCTGCCTCTGGTCTGGGATCACTCCTGGCAGGACTCAGGGACCGAGTGTGGTGTTAGGATTCAAATTGGGTTTAACTGTGGACAAGCCACGTGCCTTAACCCCCATTGTGAGTCTCCAGCACCCATGGTTGATTTTTGAGCCTAGTTTCTGTGAAGAAACTTTCAAGTCTGTGCTAGATAAAAATGTTTTGTTTCCAGTTGTTACAGCATTGTTTGTGAAAAGGTTCTTGTTTTCTGCATGTACTGTTTGCTCCTTTGTCAAGGATCAGTTGACTTGTGTCTGGGCTTACTCCAAGGCTCTTGATTCTGTTTATGTTTATCCATTAGTCTTTTGCTGTTTCCAGTGCCTTGATACTGTGACTCTAGATGCCTTGTTTGTTGTAGGGCCACAAGCAGTTTGGGGGTTACTCCAGGGACCTTATAGCAATCTTGCAGTTTCTTCAGCTTGCCGACTTGCTATTCTGTATCTTTTGCCTGTTCACATAGACTTTAGGGTTTTTTTGTTTGTTTGTTTGTTTTGTTTGAGAGGGGGCCCATACCAACTATGCTCAGAGGTTGCTCCCAGCTCTCTGCTCAGGAATTACTCCTGCTGGTGCACAGGGAACCATATAGGATTCCGGGGATCGTGGTTATCTCCGTGTAAGGCAAGTGCCCTGCCTGCTATATTATCTCCAGCCCCTATAGCTTTTTTTCATTGTGGTATTGTTGTTGTGTTTTGGGATTGCACGTGACTATGCTCTGGGCTGGCTATGTGCTCAGGGATCACTTCTGGTGCCTGGGGCACTACACAGTTCCAGGAAACGAACCTAGTGAGTCACATGCAAGGCAGGTACCTCAACCACTGTAGCATCTCACGGACCCTTGAGTTGGTTGTTTTGTTTTATTGTCATACACAAGCTTCTTGGATAATTTTCTGTGTTGTTTTATTTGGGGGTGGGTCTTTGGACCATACCACCGTGCTCGGTATACTCCTGGCTCAGTGCTCAGGTTGTCAGATGATGCCAGGAATTAAACCCAGTTTCCCATCATGCCAAACAGTGCTCCAGCTTTTTGAGCAATCTCTCCAGTTCGGTGCCTTTTAGTTTTTTTGTTTTTGTTTTGGGGCCACACCCAGTGCTGCTCAGGGATTACTCCTGGCTGTGTGTTTAGGAATTATTCCTGGCAGTACCCAGGGGGACCATATGGAATGACCTAGGGATCAAACCCAGGTTGGCTATATACAAGATAAGCACCTCCCCCACTGTACTATTGCTCCAGCCCAACCTTTCCATTTTTAATATGTTTCTGTCATTTTTGAACATCTCCCAAGCCTGCTTTTGTCTTTCTCTGCCTTTCTTCCCTGACCCAGTTTAACCTATTCTCGCGACTCTGTGCTGTCAATGGGGCATCTGCCCTCCCAGGAGCTATTTTTGCCTGTGCTGGAAACAGATCAGAGAAACAGCTCAGAATTGTGAATAAGAAGAAAACAGTAACTTTGCCAGGAAAGTGTCTGGAGTGTGTCAGGTTTATACGAGGACAAGTATATTAAAAAATTTCATGTTCAGGTATAATAAAAAATTTTTATGTTCAGGATAATGGGAGGTGATCAATTTTAGGGTTTGATTGTTCCATTAAGTCATAAGTTGAGGTGCTCCCATATTGTCTTTGTTTGATTTGGGGGCCACACCCAGTGATCCTTGGGGGCTCTTCCGGACTCTGTGGGACCTTGTGCATGCTCAGCCCATTGAGCTGGTTCTCTGGCCCATAGTCAACCCTCCCCATTTCTTTTCCCAGCCCAGAACCTCTACTCTGTCCTGGATTTTTACTCAGTCTTTGTCCGACTTTTACTTCACTTAGCCTAAGGTCTTCGGGATGTATTCATGGTCTGTCATGGTCTTTTTCCTTCGGAAAGGGCTAAACAAGATTCCTCGCATGTATAGCCCATGTTTTGTTGATCTATGTGCCATCCACTGATGGGCGTTTGGGTTGTTTCAGCTTTGGATGTTTGTGAAGAATGTTGCTCTGTCGGGCAACTCTTAACTCCAGGCACAGTTTTCCTTTCTCTTTAAGCAGGTACCTGGCAATGAAAGTGCCAGGTCGTGTGGCAACTCATGTTAATTTTCTTTGGAGCCGCCCCACTATCTTCCACTGCCTCCTCCATGTTCCATGAACTGGTAGCAAATGAGCTGGAAATCCAGCCAGTCTTGCCTTAAGGCTAGACTTTTAACCATGGTGCTGCCCGTGGGGACCCTGGAAAAAAGAGAGTCCACTGCTTCCTGCTGGACCCATGTTCTTCACCCCAGAAAATGTCTGGGAGTGTCAGCGCCGCTCAGGTCCGCATAGACCCAGCTGTCGGCTGTGCCTGACGTCTGCTGGTAGGGATTTTCCCCAAGACCGTGGTCCCTGATGTGGGGAACGTGGGCTCAGTCTGAGGCAAAGACTTGCTCTTTGAAGCAAAAGGAGAATCTGCTCCAGTTTTGCAGGAGTGTGACCTTCCCTTGCAGGGAAAAAAATTTTTTTTCAGGAGGATATAACATAGGGAAATAAAATAGTTTTAATTTAGAAAAGTGTGAGGGGAGAAAAGGAGAGAGAGAAATACTCCATTCAAGCAGGGTGTAGCCAAAAGCACACATCGAAACTTGTCAGCTAGGGAGGGAGGGCAGGCAGGCTGAAGGGGGAGAGGGAGAGTAAGAGGAAGGAATCGTACTAGTCTAGCCAGCTAGCAGGCTCCAGGTCAGGAATGCACCACTTGTCCTTTGCAGAGGTAATTGTACATTGGCTTTTTCCACTCAGGGGTTTTGTTACTAGGATGTGGCCACCAGGAAGAGCTTTGAACTCTCAGTGGTCTTTTTCTTCTTGGGCCTTCTCCTTTTCCAAGGGAGTCCACCCTACTCGGGGCTGTGATGCTACTTCAGGTCTGGTGATCTAGTACCTTCTTTAAAGCACATCTTGGTATTTCTTCCTGAAAAGCTCCTTACCAGGGACCCCTACCAGGGGCCAGAGATGCGGCTCAGTGGTTAGAACACTTGTCTTTCTTTCTTTTTTTTTTTTTTCTTTTTGGGTCATACCCAACGATGTACAGGGGTTATTCCTGGCAGTGCTCGGGGGACCATGGTTTGATATGGGAATCAAACACAGGTTGGCTCCTTGCAAGGCAGATGCTACCCGCTATGCTGTCTTCCAGCCCCAGCACTTGTCTCTGCGTATGTGAGGCAAGGGTTGACTGTCAGCATCACGAAGCTCCCCAGCATAGCCAGGAGTGGCCTCAAAGCAGCAGCCTGTAGTGGATCTTTAGGTCATTAATTTCAGGAGAAGCTTAAAGTTTTCAGGGGAAGGGGTTGTTTATCTTGTTGAATATATATCTTACATATTTTATCTGTTTCAGTGCTATTCAGATAGTAGCATGCTTTTTTTTAATATGTATTGCTAGTATATACATTTTATGTATTGACCTTGTTTGCAAATTTGCTAAAAATCTCTTAATGGCAAAATCAGATAGTAGCTTTTTTGTATTTTCTTTAAGGTATCATGCTTGTACAACTTTGCCATCTATAAGTTAAGAAGGCTTTTGTTCTTTTCTAACTATATCTTTTGTGTCTTTTTTGTTGCCTTAATGCACTTTCTAGAACTTCCAGAACAGAATTGAGGAGAGAAGACAGTCTGACCTTGCTCCTAGTCGTGAGACGGTCCCAGACCTGTAGGCTCAGATTTTCCTATAAGAAGAGAACTTGGCATTGTCCCGCATGCCTGACTATTTACTCCCAGGACCTTTATTGAATGGCTCAACCTTTCCCCTCCCATTTGTTTGTTTTTGGATCATATGCAGCAATGCTTAGTGGTTACTCCTGGCTCTGTGCTCAGGAATTACCCCAGGCGAACGGTGCTTGGGGGACCATATGAGATGCCAGGGATCAAACGGGGTCAATCATGTGCAAGGCAGGCACCCTCCCCACTGTCCTGTCTCTCCAGCCCCTCGACCTTTAATTTGAAGTGACATGTTTACCACTTGTTTTGTTTTTACTTATGCACTCATCTGTTTCTATTTTGAGATGCTGCTTTTAATTCAGTGCTTCAATGAGTAAAAGTATCCTGGGAATTAGAAGGTGGCCAGAATTGGCTATATATGTGGCTGGCCCAATGGCCTCTTATTGGGTCCTCAGTTCTTTATCTTAAATGCCAGAATAGCAGCTGTGCTGGCCCATTGCAGGGGTAAGAAAGTGGGTGTAGGTTGCGGGGGGGCGGTGGATGACACTTGACATTCCCAAGGCCAGGGCATCTTGGTGGTAGAATCCAGAGCAGCGCCTCCATGCCCCAGTTGCTGAGGTGTCTGTGCTTGGCTCCTTAGGCAAAGGCCCAGGTGGAGCTGGTGGCAAAGCTGAGAAGATGCTGGGGGACTTTGCAGCCGAGTACGCCAAGTCGAGCAGAAGCACGTGCAAGGGCTGCATGGAGAAGATTGAAAAGGTGAGCGTGTCGGGCATTGAGTGGTGTAGCCGCTCCCAGGACGTGACTTGGTGGTGGACCTTGATTTAATCCCAGCGGGGGAGGAGGGGGTGGAGTGCGCGCGCCATTGGTGACTAAAAGGCCACTAATACCTTGCTGGGGGCAGGAGGCAGCAGGGTTTTCAGATAGTTCTGACCCTGGTGACTCACAGGCCAGGCTTAAGTCTGTGGCTGCATCTCATAGGACACTTGGGAGTGGCTGCAAAGCATTTCACAAAGCCATGGACACAGGCAGACAGCAGCCTCGTCACCTGCCCCAGCCTCGTGCAAATGTTCCAGCCAGGAGAGGGCTCCCTCCTTGGAGTTTTGAGCAGGAAACTGAGCTTGACCCGGATGGGTAGACTGGTCAGCCTATGGACCCCCCCCCCCGCCCCCACACTGTGGCTCCCTTCCCCAGCCTTATACAAATATTCCAGCCGACTCATGGAAGGACCCATGGAAGGTTTTTACCTCCTCGGGGGATTATGCCAGAAACATGTGAACCCACAGATACTTCAGAAGGAAAGAAAATGAAATTGTGAGGTTGAGTCCGCCACCGAGTACCGGGAGCCAGAGTTTCATTCCGGAGGCTGGGCCTGAAATGGGCTTTTCCGTTCCATGGGGTCGCTACTGTCCCTCAGTCTGAGGGTCTGAGGTTCCTGGGCCCAGAACTCTTGGGTAGGAAGCTCTTCGGAATGTCAGGCTTCTGGGAATGGGAGAGCTGGACAGGATGGCAGGTCAAATTCTAGTCTGACGAGTTAGGGGTTCTTCTTGTGGGTGAAGACCACCCCTGTCATTGTAGTGTTCCCCACACGTGCGTACAAACATACACACACACATACACACGAGCACACATGCAAACTCGTGTGCACAAGAACACATACGAACCCAGGATTGTGCAAACTGCCCTGCTTAGCTCAGGCCTGCTTTGGCTGCTGAGCCCACAGGTTGGCGTCCTGGCATGTTGTGGGCTCCTCTCCACACTGGCACTTGCTATTTCAGAGGTGCTGTGCCTGCTCCCCAACAGAGGGTCTCCAGAAATGGTAGCACTTCTCCCACTCAGATGCATAGGTGGGGGGTTGTTAGGCTCACCCTGACGTGCATGGAGTCCTGAGGATTGAGGGTGGCATGAAGAGCTGAGACTCCGTCGCCCTTGGTGTGGGATGGGGGTTGGGCACCCCCCCACTGGCGGATGGATACCCCGGCTGATCATGTCCGCTAGGGGTTGGGCTGTCATGTATCTTTCTCGCGTTTGCTTGCTCACTCTCGGTTCCTGCTCGGTGTCTTCCTGCAGGGTGAGGTGCGCCTGTCCAAGAAAATGGTGGACCCAGAGAAGCCGCAACTGGGCATGATCGACCGCTGGTACCACCCAAACTGCTTTGTGAACAAGAGGGAGATGCTGGGGTTCCGGCCCGAGTACAGTGCGAGCCAGCTCAAGGGGTTCAACCTCCTCAAGCCAGAGGACAAGGAGACCCTGAAGCAGCAGCTCCCGGCAGTAAAGGGTGAAGGGTGAGTGGGGAGCCGGAGATCACACTAAAGACTAAAGTCCCAGCTGCCTCCACAGCCCATGGGACCATTCTCGAACACTCCCTGGGATCCTGCTAGGGAGATGAGTGTGTTTTCCTGTTTTCCATCATGAGGGGGAATGCAGGGGTTGCCCACATTACAGCATATTTGCTGGCCAGGCTGGGGCAGACAGGCGCGGCTGTCATTTGTTGGGGCTTCATTTTGGGGGGTTGGGCACAGGACTGGGGCCACAGCCAGCTGGGCTCAGGCATATTGCTGGATCTGTGCTCAGAAATGATTCTCTAGCCATGCTGGGGGACCATTTATGGGGGACCATAAATTGCCGGCGATTTAACCAGGCTCAGACAAGCGCCTTAGCCTCTGTACTTTCTCTCCCGCTCCTCGTAGGGGCTTTAAATGGCAGAGCACTGCAGACGCATCTGAGAACAGACTTTGTACCTAAGCTTTATCTTTGTCCAATCGCTGCCCTGAGCAGAGCTGCTGGAACCTCCAGGTCATCTCACTTGCTCCCAAAGATCCACAGGTGTCCAGCCTCCCCTGGGTTCTGAGGCCCTGCAGCCCCTGGGCCCCTCCTTGGTAGCGGGCTAGTAGTTAGCTGCAGGAGGAAACTGGTTTAGACGGTGAGCTCCCATAAGCCCTTGGGTCGCTCAGGAGCTGCCTCCGAGGGTGATGCAGGGCTGGTTGGCCAGAATCCAGTGAGCACTGGGAGGCATGTCACAGCCATCCCTGGGTTTTCTCTTATATCCCGTGGCGCAGAAAGAGAAAAGGCGATGAGGTGGATGGGCTAGAGGAGGTGGCCAAGAAGAAATCGAAGAAGGAAAAAGACAAGGACAGGAAGCTGGAAAAGGCCCTTAAGGTAAGCCCGGAGCTGGGTCTCCTTTTCCTCCTGTGCTGTCTCTGGAAGCAAGCTGGGTGGGGGTCCTTGCTCTCCAAGACCTAGGAATTCCCAGGTTGGTGGCTGTTGCAGATTTGGGCTTTACCCTCATTTGTTTCTCTTGCCAAGGAATTCTTCTTTGAAAAAATCCACACTGAATTAAGGTGTCAGTTGGGAGAACGCTCCCCACCCCCCTACCCCCAAGACCCAAAACCCTTATTCTCAGCAGCCCCCCTCACCCCCCAGTCCATCCGCCCAGTGCAGCCACAGGGAGGGAGTTGCTGCTCTTTATTACTTGGTTTGGAGCCCACACCTGGCTGTGCTCTTTTTTGTTTGTTTGATTTGGTCACTCACAGGGTCTTGGGGCATTGCTGGCCTTGTGCTGGGGAGTTGACCCTGGCCGTCGAACTCTCCTGGATCTGTTCTGTCAGTTTCCCCTTGTCAGGAAGAAGAGTTCCTTAAGAAAGGGAAGAGGCTGGGCCTGGGGAGATAGCACAGCAGGTAGGGCACTTGCCATGCACATCACCAACCCACATTTGATCCTTCAGCATAGTGAATCTGTGCTACACCCTGCACCCTGCAGGGTGTCATCCAAAAACAAAAAAAAAAAGAAAAAGGAAGAGGCCTGAGAGGAGGAAACTAGCAGTGAATTCAATGGACACTGACCAGAGGACATCATTGGGTCCCTATGTCTGTTACATGTGCATTCAAGCCACATGAAAGTCATGGATCAGTGAACACAGGGTGTGGGGGGAACTCAAGAAAACAACCTGTCTCTTCCCGGGAGCATGATTTCCAAGAACTACCTGCTTCGCTCTGTGTGAGTAGTCGGGCTCTGGGGTGTAAAATTGGATGCAGTTTCTGATCTGATTCCAGTTGCTCGATGAGAAGCACAAATTTGGGCCAGAGAGATGGTTCTGAGGTCAAGGCAGTTTGCTTGCAGCAAAGGTGGATGCCCAGCACTGCATATGGTCTGGTCCGCTGAGCATTGCTGGGGGTTGGCTGAAAGCCAGCATGTGTGTATTGCAAGTCAGTGCTCTGCTGCAGAGCCCGGCCCTGGTGTTGTGGTAGATACATATAGGGCCAGGGCAGATAAGGTACTTGCCTTGCCTGTGGCCGGGGTTCAGTCCCCATCACCTGAGCCCTGCCAGAAGTGTTCCCTGAGCATGTCACCCCAAAACAAGAAACAAAAAAATGTCTTTCATGCAGCAGGTCTGGTGTGGGGTGGCCCTAGTGCTATTTTGTGCTAGGCATTTGAGGTTGGGTGCTGTCTGCCCGGGACTGTGGGTGTGATTCTGCTCTCTGCTCCTCACCCTGGCTGTTCCGCCCTGCTTCTGCCCCCGGTTCCGGTGGGGAAGTAGTCAGTGTTGGTGTTGCCTGTGTCCCTGCATCTGGGATGCTATCGGAAGGGGGTGTCACGTGTTGTACAATTGTATCCTCCCCTTCTGTAACTGAGAGCAGCTGGGCACAGGGGCCAAGGGGTGTCTGCATTTCCTGTCCTGATTTGTCGATGCGGGGTCTGAGATTGACTGAGGCCTGCACAGCTTAACCTGCCGCCCTGGAGACCGGGTAGGCGGAGGCATTTCCAGCAAGTTGTGGAGGGTAAACGATAAGACCCGCTCTCGCGCCTTGGAGTAGGTGGCAGTGCATGAAAGGCAGCTTTGAGTTTGCTGTGGGGTGCTGGGAAGTGAACACCACTGTGAGCTCCGTCCCTGGCCGCATCATAGATTCTGAGTTGCATTTTCTGGGGAGCTGGGGTCTCTTCCGGAGGTGTGCCGTGCAGGCTTTCAGTTGGGTGGGGGCCGGCCAGCACCTCATCCTGTTTTTTCACAACTGAAGACACGTCCAGGACTGCAGACGCATCCAGGACCAGCAGTTAGAAGCGAGGCCGGTTGCCAGGGGCCACCATTAGGCACTTGTCATTTCCGGGAGACTAATCCCAGGGTCCTCGGTGCCTGAGCTGCCACCTTCCCTGAATCCACAGGAGTAGCACATGGCAGAAAGTGATGAGATGGGCTTTGGCTTGGCCTTTTCGCTCTCTGGCAAGAATGGGTGGGTGGATCCCTACACAAGAAGACCCCAGTGGGACGTTCTCTGACTGGGCGTCTCTCGGTAAAGAGGGGAGAGTGTGTCTCAGGGTGTCTTGGTTCATTGCTGGCTCTTGTCCCCAGGCCCAGAGTGACCTGATCTGGAACATCAAGGATGAGCTGAAGCGGGTGTGTTCCAACAGTGAACTGAGGGAACTGCTCAACTGCAACGATCAGCTCGTGCGCGCCGGAGACGCAGCAGAGAGTGCAGTGAGTGAGCGAGGCGGGGGAGGGGGGCTCCTGTTTTCTGGCTTATGGGGGGAGGTGCTCCCCACTGGTTTTTGTGGGGCTGTGAGAGATGGGGAGACTCACAGCTGTATTAACCCTGGACAGAGGATTCTGGTGATCACTGAAATGGTCTGTGTGGGTGCCACATGCATGACTTGGCCTTGGGGCTCCTTCTGTTGCCCCCTGCCCAGGCTCCCCAGGGCTCGGGGTGGGGGTGGCCTGCATCTTCTCAACCCTCTTTCCGGCCAGCTCCTGGCTAAGTGGACGCTTCTGCTGGGCACTGGCCCTAGATGCTCTCGACTCTCCCTGTCTTTCGGCAGCATGAGGTGGGAGGAGTCAGGACAAGGAGGAGCTCAAGGCAGAAAGTTCTCCACCTCCCGCTGTCCACTGGGTGCCCAGGGCTGGGGGAGCGACAGAGCCTTCTATCCCTCTCGATTCCTGTCCCAGGGGAGTAGCTCCTCCCCTGATGTGTTTCTTGGCCGCCTGCAGCTCCTGGACCGCGTGGCAGACGGCATGGTTTTTGGGGCGCTCCTACCCTGCAAAGAGTGCTCAGGCCAGCTGGTCATCAAGAGCGATGCCTATTATTGCACCGGCAACATCACTGCCTGGACCAAGTGTCCGGTCAAGACGCAGACACCCAGCCGGAAGGACTGGGTGACTCCGGAGGTAAAGGGGGATGAGGGGAGATCCTGGGTTCTGTTGGTAGAAAAACGTGGTCCTCCCTTCTGGGATTGATTGTCTCGTCTGTGTCCTTCGGCCCCAGGCCAAGCTCAGGGGACATGACGGTAAGCAAATGGATCGCCACTTCTGACGGATGTTTAAGTCTGGGCCTCAGTTTTGGGGGAGAGCGGCGGCGTCGGGTCTAGAGTTTTAAGTGTATTGGACTGTGGTCAATCCTTCATAAGTGAGGCTGCGATTTCAGTGCGCAGCGTGATGACAGCACCTTGGGCTGGGGCCCTCACTTGGAGCCATGCCAGAGAGGAGCTGTGCCTTGGGGGGGGGGGGGGGGTCAGGGGGCTGCTGGACTGGCCTTGCACCTGGGGGTGGGTTGCAGGAGTGCCTGGTGAGCCCTCAGTTCCCAGCGGCCCCCGCTGACTGGCTGCTGGCTCCCTGACCATCTGTTTGCAGTCTCCAACCTGCTCCCTGGACCTTGCACACACTTTGAATAATTGCTGCAAAACAAACGTGACCTCGGCATTACCCTCACCTGCCACCAGTACTACTGAAATATTTTCTCTGGGTTTTTTTGGGGCTGTGCAAACACAAGAGGCCCTCTCAGGCTCTTTGAATCCCTCTTTCTCTGAGAGCATATGAGGACTTAACGTGAGCTAGTTCGTAGTCTCAAAGTCTGTCTGCCAAGTGCATTGCACCTGTGAGTACTTGAGAGCATTCTGCTCTCCAGATTGAGTACTTAGTGCTCGTAGGGAGTTGCCTGCCCCACTTGGCGACCATGCAGACCCCAGGGGTTGGGCCTATGGAGTCACCGTCACCTCCTGGCCTTGATCCAGCTCCAGCAGCCATTTCTACTTATTTCCTATGCCCCATGTTAAATGGCCCTGCCCTGGGCCCTGGCCCCAGCACTCCCAGCATTAGGGAACTATAGACCTGGGGGTCCTGTCCTTTTGTCTGGGGGCCACACCCAGCGGTGCTCAGGGCTTTCTTATGGCTCTGCTTTCAGCTGTCACTCTTGGAGTGCTCAGAGAAGCATATGTAGTGCTGGGTGTGGTACCTGGGTCAGCTGCATGCACGGTGGGTGTGAAAAGGCAACCCACTGCACTCTCTCTTCATCTCCTGGACCTGGGGGTCTCCGAATACCCCAATAGGTCTGTCATATTTTCTTGCTGAGGCAGCTCCCGAGTCTCTGGGTATTGGCTCGGTTAGCAGACACTGCTGCTGAGCAGTCCTCCCAGACTTGTTAGACATCTGTCCCCTCACCATGCCACGTTTCCCCTGTATTAGTCTTAATACAGTTCCAACTTAAGAGTTCACTCTTAAGATGAAGACCCAAGCTTTTCTCAAGGGCAGACCTGTTTTCCCTTTTAGTGTAAGGGGGTACTGTGTTGCTCAGCTTATGTTGGAAACCTGTGAGTATAGTTTGCCTCCACTATCTTGAAGTAGAACATTCCAAAGGGGGTTGAGGGGATGAGCTCAGAAATTCTGTGACTTCATATGAAAAGTTTTTGGTTTTGTTTTTGGACCATACCCAGCAGTGCTCAGGGGTTAATTCTGGCTCTGGTCATGGGGATCACTGCTGGTGGTGCTCGGGGAACCCTATCCCATGCTGGGGGTCAAACCAGATCAGCTGCATGCAAGACAAGCATCCTACCTGCTGTACTATCGTTCCAGCCCTAAAAAAAAATTTGAGTGTTCCCAGGCCCCCTAAAATCCCCTTCAAAACCACCCAAAAAGGAGCTGTGCCCCCGTCTCCTTTCTGATCTCAGGGGAGACTGTTCCTGGCTTGAGGGGAGCAAACTCAGCATGAGGCATGGGGGCTAGAGAAGTGCCGAGTCCTCTCAACATTGGTCTTGGCTGTGGGGTGCAAAAACCGCAAATTTCCAGCGAGGCTGGTTTCTCATCTCTAATAAACATGTTCTTCAGGAATTCCGAGAAATTGCCCATCTCAAGAAACTGAAGATCAAGAGGCAGGATCGGATCTTTCCCCCCGAAGCCCCCACTCCTGCCGTGGCAGCAGCACCCCCACTCTGCGAGGCCGCAGCCCCGGCCCCGGCCCCAGTAGAGCCTGTGAACTCAACTCCACAAGGTAGGGCTGGGGAGGGCAGAGCCCTGATCTGCAGAGCTGGCCGCTGGCCACCCCCAGGTTCTGCCCTGAGAAAGGCCTGCGGGCAGCCTTCCTGGGACCAACCTTCCAACCCCAGCACTCATTTCCCTGCCTAGTCTCCATCTGACATCCTGCGTCTGCCGTGACGCCAGCTAAGCCCCCACTGCAGGACAGAGTGGTCAGGAAGAACACTGCAGTGCAGCTCAGGCAAAAGCAAGGGTGCGTTCCCAGAGGGGCGCGCGCCCTCCTGCAGTCACCCCGAGGCCCCTGTGTCTTTACAAGCTGGGCCGCCTCAGCCTCACCCTGATCCCTTCCCGGCCTCCTGGGCAGCATCCTGAGTCCGCTGTGGTCCAAGAGCACATGGATGGGGGCCGGAAGGCAGGCGGGGGACTGTTAGCAGCATCCCAGGCCTCTGAGGGGGCCTCGGCCAGCAGCCAACTAGGCCCTCAGTGTCCCCATGGGCTTCACCTTGCCCAGCTCTTTCTGGATATGCCCTGCTGGGCCCCATTCCTGGGGCAACACATACAAGCTTTCTGTCCATCCCAGTGCCTTCTGGCCTGGGGTCACTTGTGGGGCCCTAAAGCTGCAGCTACTCTTCGGTCAACTTCCTGTGGTTCTGCTGGCCAGACCTTTGGGTGTCTACTTGAACCAGTCAAGTTTGGGGTGAGGGTGCTACCCAGGGTGGCACTCCTGTCAAAGCCTGTCCCTGCACCTACACTCCCATCTGAGTGTTGGGCGTAGATGTAAGTAATAAATACAGCTTAAGAGTTGCAGCTGGGGTTGGAGAGAATGTCCAGGGGTTAGGCACTTGCTTTTGCACACAGCTGACCGGCACTAAGTAGGGTCCCCTGAGCACTGCCAGATGGGACATACAAAAAAAAAAGAACCACCCAAAAACGAGCTGCAATTTGTTTTTACGATGAGGTGGGGGGGGGGGGGGGTAGAGATGGGTTCACACACACAGCCCCTGTTGCCTTAGTCCCCTGTGCCCAGGTGCCCAACCCCTCTCCCCTCCACTCCTGTCCTTCCTGTGGAAGAAACAGGCAGACCCTCAGGGTCTATTTACTGGCTGGTCTCCACCTTCCCAATAACTCATTGGTATCCATAGACTAGTGCCCGGGCAGATGCCCCAAGCAGGGGGCTGAGGTCCAGGGCTCTGTGGCCTGGCCTGTCCCTGAGGGTTTGGTGCTTTGCCTCATTGCCCAGCCCCCACCCTGTACCCTGCTCCCCTCTTCTGGGAATATGAGTCTATTTGTCTGCTGTCCTACCCCAGATAAGCCCTTGAACAATATGAAGATTCTGACACTCGGAAAACTGTCCCAGAACAAGGAGGACGTGAAGGCCACCATTGAGAAACTGGGGGGCAAGGTGACGGGCACCGCCAACAAGGCCTCCCTCTGTATCAGCACAAAGAGTGAGTTCCAGCTCCACTCTGAGCTCAGGGGGAGCGTGGGGTGGGGGCAGGGGTGATCTGTCTTGTGAGTGCCCCGGGGCTCTGTGTGGCCAAGTGCAATATGGTGCAGACAGCATCAGGGCTCAGGGTCAGCAGGAAGGAAGCAGTGCTTGTGGACGTGTCATACCTGTCTCGTGTCCCCAGTCACCGCTGCAGGCCACTACTGAAACCGTCGGCTGCATGCCCTGCCCTGGAAGGCCCTGGTAGCTTCTCTCCCAAAAGCGCACTGCTTCGGTGCCTGTTGGGAACAAACAAGCTGTTTGCATGACAGTTCCTATGTTCGCAGCTGTTGCTACTTTCTCAAGCGCTCAGAAATACTTTTTCCTATTCAGGACTGGTTCGCCCAGGGAGTCCTGGTCCTGTCTGGGAGGGTTGGGAGAAGGCAAATGGTGCCCTACTTTAGATGCAGGGGAATATTGCATGGGAGGGAAAGAAGGTCTTGTGGGTCGGGGAGGGTACTTGGAATCCCCTGAGTGCAGGTCTGACTGCGCCGTTGACCTTTTCTGTGTTTCCTCCCATGCAGAGGAAGTGGACAAGATGAGCAAGAAGATGGAGGAGGTGAGGGAGGCCAACATCCGGGTGGTGTCTGAGGATTTCCTCCAGGATGTCTCGGCCTCCACCAAGAGCCTTCAGGAGTTGCTCTCTGCCCACATCTTGTCCCCTTGGGGGGCTGAGGTGAAGGCAGAGCCCATCGAAGTCCCTGCCCCGAAAGGAAAGTCAGGGACTGCACAGTCCAAGAAGAGCAAGGGCTCCATCAAGGAGGAAGGTGAGGCCGCAGCTGCCCCTCCTCGCACTCAGGCGCCAGGCAAGGGGCCAGAGAGATGTATGTGGGGAGGACGTGCATGTGGCCAGTGCTGCTGGCACTTCATTGTTTGTGCACGGGGCCCATGCTGCCTCCCAGGTGTGGACTCTCGCTTCTAGGGGCTCCCGGTCCAAAGGAGATTTGCCTGACAATCTGAAACCTTTTATTTCCCCTGGTTCAAGTGTCTATGTTTTTGCAAAGAGGATTAGGTTGCATCCCTGGCGTCCTACCTCCAAGTAGCACCGGGTATGATCCCTGAGCACAGCAGCAGGAGTCTACTCTGAGCACCACGATGGGGGACCAGGGTATTTGGGGACAGTTCAGTTTTCTCAGATTCGTTTTCTGGGAGCATTTGGCAGGGCCTGTGGGGTGCTGGGGAGGTACCTGCGGACCGCCAACTTGGTCTGCCCTCCTTCCCCCACCCCCCGAATCTCACCTTTAACGCTTCTCTTTCCCAGGAGTCAACAAGTCTGAGAAAAGAATGAAGTTGACTCTGAAGGGTGGGGCCGCAGTGGATCCAGATTCTGGTAAGCGGCACTGTGAGGCTGGGGGCAGGGGGCACCTTTGCCCCCCTCCTCCAATCCTGAGAGCCAAGGCATCTTGTGGGGCCCGCCTGCTGAGCCCTCCCTGAGCCCGCTGGCCCGTCTGTGGCAGGTCTGGAGCACTCGGCGCATGTGCTGGAGAAGAATGGCAAAGTGTTCAGTGCCACCCTGGGCCTGGTGGATATCGTCAAAGGCACCAACTCCTACTACAAGCTGCAGCTCCTGGAGGACGACAAGGAGAACAGGTACGTGCTGGGAGCGCAGTGCCCCACAAGAGGAGGGACCTGTTGTTAGTGCTGTGCGATCAGCCTCTGAATGCGGGGGGTGTGGGGAGTGAGAGGTGGTACTAACTGGCCAGCAGTCACCAAGATCACCTGCCTAGGGAGGCCAGAAGGAGGGCAGGAAGGATGCCACCGCTTCTACTGACACCCCAGAGTGAAAATTATTTCATGCGTTAAACCTCTTTGCAAAAACAGGGACGACCCAGGGGGAATAACAGGTTTTACTGATAGTCAGGCAAATCTCCTTTGTACCGGGAGCCCCTAGAAGCGAGAGTCCACACCTGGGCGGCAGCACGGGCTCCATATACGACCAGTGAGGTTCCTCCAGCATTGGCCACCCTAGTGGGTATCAGAAGCCACCCTGGAGGCCACCTAACCTTTCTGAAGAAATGCTTTGTCATGGAGTTTTATGTCCTGCTCTTGGTTGGGATTGGGAAGACAGAAACTGGCTTCTTGCTTGCAAAGCGTTTTTCCCCAAAGTGTGTGCTGTTGCACTGGCAGAAGAGGGGTTTTGCGGGGGTGGTAGCATACCCCAGTCGGCCCCAGTCTGTCCTAGTCTGCACACTGAGACCAAAGTGGCCCAACCCCTTCACAGGGTTCTGGTGCGATTGTGGGTCTACCTATCTTTCGGGCAACTGAGATCCAATGCTTGGTGGATTTTGTTTTATTATGGTACCAGAGATGCAACCCATGATGTTACGTGGGTGAGACGGCCATCCTGAGATCCAGCCCTTTTCCCAGTTTCCAGTGTGGACACTTAAGGTCCGAACATATTTTTAGGAGAACGGATGAGTGGGTGACTGTCTTGCATCACTAACATCAAAAACCCAGCAGAGAACACACAGATACACGCAGACGCGCACATGTGCACATACCTGGGCCACCCAGATTATGCTCAGGAATTACTCCCAGCTCTGTAAAAGGTAAAGGTAAAGGCCCTCCCGTTGATCGTCGATTTGCTCGAGCGGGCCCAGTAACGTCTCCATTGGAGACTTGGTTGTTATTGTGTCTGGCATATCTCTGTAATTAGGAATAATTCCTGGCAGTGCTTAGGGGATCATATGGGAGTCTAGGGATCGAAGCCAGATGAGCCACAAGCAAGGCAGATGCCCTCCCCGCTGTACTGTTTATCTGGACCCTAGGTTTTGGGTTTTGAGCCACACCTGGCAGTGCTCAGGACAGAATACCATACACAGTGCCCAGGATCACCCGCATACAGAACTAAGGCCTTTACCCCCTACACTCTTGCCTGACCCAGAGAACAATTTTTTTTTTCCTTTTTGGGTCACACCCGGTGATGCTCAGGGGTTACTCCTGGCTCATGCACTCAGGAATTGCTCCTGGCAGTGCTCAGGGGACCATATGGGATGCTGGGAATCGAACCTGTGTTGGCCATGTTGGCTGCGTGCAAGGCAAACGCCTTACTCGCTGTGCTATCGCTCCAGCCCCCCCAGAGAACAATTTTACACACTAGGCAGCAGCTGGCAAAACTAAGAAAGCCCCAGTCTCCCATTGACTATCCTGGTTTTAGCTTTAAAGTGTGCTTGAATTCTGTGTCCAGTTTCCTGATACAGCTATGTGCAAGTTCAGGTATGTCCAAGAAAAATTAATGGCTTGATCCCAGAGACTCAGAAACAGATCTTGAAACCCAGCGGCTTTTGTCAGAAATGTGTCCGGACCCCGCAGTAGGTTACTGTCGCCGGGCCACCCCAGGGGGGAATGGGTGCTGTCCCTCCGCCTGCTCCCTCTTGGCGACTTGGTGGCTGTCATCCTCCAGAGGCCATTGGGCAGTCAGGCTTGGGCCCGCAGTGACGAAACTTGTTGGGTCTCACGCGATGGGGGGGGGGGAGGTGGAGCCGGGCCTGTCTTCCCCACCCCAATGAGACCCCCAAGTCATCGCCCACGAATGGCCTCTTTGGCTCCTCATCAAGCTGCTCAACGGCCATGATCCCAGAGACTCAGGAGCAGATCTCTAAACCCAGTGACTTTTGGCAGAAATCCCTCCAGATTTAAGTGTTAAAATTTCAGAACTTCAAAACCACATGGCCCTACTGCAGCCACACGACATCATATGTTATTCATAACCAGCAATAGAACACAAATTGTCTGTTGTTGCCTTTTCAGCAGATCTGAGTGTTGGGGTAAAATCTTAAATAATGGTGGGTCTGGTGTCGAAATAGTGAATGTGATCAAAGTAGAGAGAGAGTAATGTAGAAATCATCTGCCCCACAGGCAGGGGGAGGGTGTGGGATGGGGGTATACTGGGATTTTTGGTGGTGGAGAATGGGCACTGGTGAAGGTACGGGTGTTTCATTGTATGACTGAGACTTAGACCCAAAAGCTTTGTAACTGCTCTCACGGTGATTCAACAAATAAAATTATAAAAAATGGAAAAAGAAAAAAAAAGTAAGGTGGAGTTCATGCACAATTCAATCAGCTAATCAGTGGCTGAATAAATAGCAGTACTCCTACAAAAAAAAGAAAAATTAATGGCAAGCACAGCACGTGTGACTCATTGCCCTTGATTGGTAGGGATGGACATGATGGGGCTGCAGGTGACTTGTCCTGTCCCTCAACCACAGTGTGTCTTGTTGCATTTTGGCCTCTGGTCTGGGCCCAAAGCACTTGGTTATTTTTAGAATAGATCTGTGATGGGTCACCTTGAGCACTGACTCCCAGATAACGCTTGGTATATGACTGTATAGAGGTCAGAGCCTGCAATGCCAAACACCCCCGATCCCCCCTCCCTCCCCCCACCTCCCCAAGTGCTCCTTAAACTTGGCAGTCAAATCCTGTTCTTTGGCATTTTGTTTGTTTTTGGCTTTGGGTCACATGCAGCGGTGCTCAGGGCTTACTCCTGGCTCTGCACTCAGGGATCACTCCTGGTTGGATTGGGGGACCATATTCCAGGTGCCAGGGATAGAATTCTATCTGCTGTGTGCAAGGCGAATGTCTTACCCGCTGTGCTCTCGCTCAGGCTCCTCTTTGCAACACGATTTGAAAGGGCTTTAATTCCTTTTAAAACTTAGAACTTTTGCTTGAATAGAAGGCCTGAGTAGGAGGGTCCCTGGTGGTGGCGTGGTCCCCTGTTGTTCTCTGTTCGTTGCAGCTTTTCTGAGTTGCTCACTCAGGTGAACAGTGGTACTGATACCCGCTGCTGCCCTCTGCTCCACAGGTACTGGATATTCAGGTCCTGGGGCCGTGTGGGCACCGTGATTGGCAGCAACAAACTGGAGGAGATGTCATCCAAGAAGGATGCCCTTGAACATTTTATAAATATATATGAAGAGAAAACTGGGAACAGCTGGCATTCCAAAGACTTCAAAAAGTATCCCAAAAAGTTCTACCCTCTGGAGATTGACTATGGTCAGGTAAGAGGAGGGGCAGCTCATTCATTCTGTTTTTGGTGTGTGTGGGGGGGGGGGGGGGGGGGGGGGAGGGTGTTGGTGTTGGGGCACACCTGGCAGTGCTTTAGGGCTTACCCCTGGTTCTGCACTAAGGGATCACACCTGGCCCAGCTCAGGGGACCATATGGGGTGCCTGAGTTGACCATGTGCAAGGCAAACAACCTACCAGCTGTACCTATCTAAACACATTTTTTTAATAATGTAGGAGTACTGCTATTTGTTCAGCCGTTGATTAAGCTGATTGAATTGGACAGGAATTCCACATTGCATTTTTCTCTTGCTTGTTTCACCGTGAGAGTGTTACAAAGCTTTTATTTTTGAGATTCAGCCATACAATGATAGAACACCCATCTCTCCACCAATGCACATTTTCCAACACCAATATCCCCAGTATCCCCCCCCCCCCCCAGCATCCCAGTCTCCACCCTGCCTCTATTGCAGATAATTTCCCCAATACTCTCTCTCTAAGGCATTATGTTTTACTCGAAATTTCCCACCCACCACCATTCAGGCCTACCTGCCAGGGGCAGACACTAGATAAGCTCATTTTGAGTATCATGAGAGCTTGCACAGCCACAATTATAAATGTAAATTTCTAAATTGTAAATAGTTGGGTTCTAGAGACATCTCTGTATGGTACTAGTCCATTTTGGGATTCAATTGGGAGTCTCTGGGCCAGGGCTCTTGGTGCGCTAAGATGGTCCCCAGACATAAATTGTGCCCGGAGAGGGACAGCCCGGGTCCTCTGCCTTCTGCCGCCATGCAGTCTGGAGATTCAGTCCTGGAACCTGCATACCTGGGCCTTGCTTGTGGAAGCTCTTAGTCACCAGGATTCCATTTGGAGTAGATGAGGAGACTGCACCTGCTCCATCTGGGGTGCCCCGGTGAAATCCAAACATTTGCTTAAAAAAATAAAACAGGATGGGCTGGAAAGAGGACAGCAGGTGAGGTGCTTGCCTTGCACATGGCTCACCCAGGTTCAATCCCAAGTATCCTGTAAGTGGTCCCCAAGCACTGCCCAGACAGACTCTTTAGCGCAGAGCCAGGAGTAATCCCTGAGCATCACCAGGGATTATGTTACCTTTTCTCTGTACTTTTAATATCTTTTTTTTTAAGTGTTTTTCCTAACACCTACCCAAAAATAAAAATTTAGAAACCAGGATCAGAAAGCTTTCCTGGCAAAGTGATACCAAATTTTAAAAGAATTGCTGGCACACAGCTTCCAGAGGGGAAATGGGAACTTGGCCCTCCCTGGCCAGTTCTCCCCACATGATCATTTTGGGGGGGGTTTGTGTGTTTTTTGGTTTTGTTTTGTTTTTGCTTTGGGGCCACATCCGGGGATGTTTAGTGCTAACTCCTGGCTCTACACTGAAGACTCACTCTGGCAGAGGGGGACTGTACATGGTACCAGGATCAAACCTGGGTTGGCTGCCTACAAGGCAAGTGCCCTTCCTGCTGTACTGTCTCTTCAGCCCTGTCTTGTTTGGTTTTTCAACTAAAGAAATTATAAGTAGAGAGAAAGGGTAACACATTCACAAGAGAATATAGATGTCTCCAGAGGTGTCTGATACTAGTTGGATTGCCACCTTTGGCCTCTGTCCAGCAGGGGTCACTCAAGGAGAAGGCCACAAACACAGACTTAAAAATTGAGGGTCACTTGGGCAGCCCTGAGTGAGCATACATGCTGGCCTGTTACTCAATATAACATTGCCCTGTTCTCATTCCTAACACAAGTTGTTTTAAATTGACAGAGACATTTGAGAACAGTTAATCAGCACATCAAAATAGAATGGGTAAAGCAAGAAATTTGAAATAAGAGGTCGATCTATACTCAAAGTATAGAGCAAGGTGATGACAGTTGACAGTTTCCTATTCTGTTTTTATTCATGTTGGCCTCTGTGTCTAGAAAACCCTAAACTATTTCTTTTTTTCCTGGTTTAATTGTTGCTGGCCGTTTATGTTTTTAAGATCTCAGCTTTTTTTGGCCCCAAGTTCTATCCCAACCTTGGAGAGATATATATATATATATATATATATATATATATATATATATATATATGTAGTGTGTGTGTGTGTGTGTGTTGAGGGGAGGGAAGGGTGGGAGGGGGGCGAGGAGTGGTTCCCATACAGAGGTAGGAGAGTCCCAGTAAAAGAAAGGAGTCACAGTTAGAGACAAACATCTCATAAAATCTTGGAGCTGATGGGTAGGGTGCTTGCCTTACATGTGGTTGACCCGGATTCCATCCCTGGCACCCTGTATGTCGAGCCCCACCAAGAGTGAGCCCAGAGTAAGCCCTGAGCACAGCAGGGTGTGGGAGAAAGACTCCAGTTTTAAAGATGCTCTCCTAATCACAAGGGTGATTGATACATTCCAGCTGGAGGCTTTTGTTTTGTTAGGGGGGGGTGAGGAGTATACCCAGTGGTGCTCAAATAATCACCCCTGGAAGACTCTGGGGCTGTATGGGATGCCAGGGATCAAACCTGGGTCAGCCACGTGCAAGGCAAATGCCCTACTTGCTGTCACTCCAGAGGCTTAATTTTTGGCCCCCGAAGGGCCAAATTTCTCATTCCATGTTTCAGCCCTTGAGAGCTGGCAGCTTGGAGAAGCCACACACATGGGCAGGGGTCCGAGCTCTGTGCCAGTTTCTTGCTCCTAAAACAAATAGAAATCCTTACGATCCGATGTTCGGTCCATCGTTGGATGCTGCTGGATCGACTGGGATGTCTGTCCATAGGTGGGGCTCAAATCCAAACTGAGGGGGCCGAGCAAGAATTCAGCAGGTAAGGCACTTGCCTTGCATGTGTCGAACCCAGGTTCGATCCCTGGTACCCCATATGGTTCCCTGAGCCCTAACCAGGAGTATGCCCTGAACACTGCTAAGTATGGCCAAAAGCAAAAACATAAAATTAATCTGAGCAGAGTTATGAAAATTTCAGAGCAGGATGGTCTCAGGGTTCTGCGTGTTGCGGGGTAGTGGTGCTTTTCAGTAAGCAGCACTTGAAAGGTGATGAGGCTGGTTGGCTGAGCCTTGGGACCAGAGAGAAGGCAGTACATACGCACAGCTTTGCGCCAGCCCTGGGCTGAGCCAGTGCCAGAGAAAGCGGCCCCAGGGGCCAAGGCCTGCCTTCCACGCTGCCCAGCACATCCAGATTGGACTTGAGTGGGCACTGGGCAGGCTTGCCTGGCAGGATATGTCAGCCAACCAGGGTGGGAGGGCTCGTTCTTGGAGCTGGATGGCGCCACGGCACCTGGAGAAGAAAACGGCAGCCACCCAGATTCCTTCTTGGGGTGCACTTGAGGTGCTGACACGCAACCTCTTATAGCCACCGCATAAATCATTTTGGTTTTTGTTTGTGTGTTTGCTTGCTTGCTTTTTGGGTTCCACCCGGCGATGCACAAGGGTTCCTCCTGGCTCTGCACTCAAGAATTACTCCTGGCGGTGCTCAGGGGACCATATGGGATGTTGGGAATCGAACCCGGGTCAACCATGTGCAAGGCAATTGCCTACATGCTGTGCTATCGCTCCAGCCCCAGCACAAATCATTTTGACACTCAGCCCCATCCTGTGTCCACACTGTCTGCAGCTGAACCCTTCACAAGCCACCACCTCTTGGCTCAGGTGCTTCACTTGCTCCTCATAACGACCTTCTTTTCCCCCCAAAGGATGAGGAGGCGGTGAAGAAGCTAACCGTGAATACTGGTACCAAGTCGAAGCTGCCCGAGCCAGTGCAGAAGCTCATTCAGATGATCTTTGACATAGAGAGCATGAAGAAGGCCATGGTGGAGTACGAGGTCATTGCATGAGCCAGGGCTCGCTTTTCCCAGGGCATGGTGGGGTTCTGGTGACCTGCACTTCAGGCTGAGGCCATGCTGGGCTGCTGGTCTCTCCCAGCCTCTGATTCCTGTGGCTGGGTGCTGGCCCTAGGCTCCAGGCTCCCCTCCTGTGGCCTTGGTAACCTATGTACATGGTTATTTATTGTCCCATCAGGTGAGCCAGACAGGGCTTGGTTCTTCCAGCAAAAGAACCACGGAGAGCTTCAGTGCAACTGGTAAAATTGTGCCCACCATGGGTGGGAGGCAGCTGGGTGTTGGACAGGCGAGCCCTGTCCTTGCTGCAGGGTAAGGGAGGGAGGGTGTGTAGCAGGTGCTCTAGGTGCACCTGCTGACAGGTGCTCCAGCTGACAAATACCTTGCTGCCACTTCCTTCCCTAGTCACAGGGTCCTGAGAACAAGTAGTGAGAAGGGAGAGAACTGGGTGGGCCTCGGTCATTCCCACCCCACCCTTTACCAGAAAGCTGCCTCCCTTCCTGTGTGCCCCCCTTCATGTCCTTTTAGAGGCTCCCAGCAGGGGACATGCCTGAGTGGCAGCCTCTTCCTCTAGAGCCCTGTCATCCTTGGGCACAGGACCGAGACCAATCTGATGTCTCGTGTCTTGCTAGAGAGCAGCCTCAAGTCACTTGCAACCCATCCATGGTGGCTTCGAGGGGATCTGGGTTTCCCTGGTCCTGTCTGCATCAGCTTCCCTGATCAGACCATCCCGGTGGTTCCCACAGCCACTTTCTACTTGGCTTGTTGTTTGGGAAACACCCCCACCAGTGCTCAGAGCTGCACCAGGCTTTGCTCTGGGTACCCTGTGGTGCCAGGGATCAACCCCAAGGTCCTCAGGGCGCTTTCTTGAAGTCTGGGCAAAGTTCTTCACTCTGGTGGGTTTCCTTGGCTCGAGATCAGTTACATAGCTGCTCTCTTACCAGACCCCCGTCTAAGCTGTTTGACTCTCCCTGCGACTCAGGGATCCCCTCACATGGAGGGTGTTCTAGTGTTGAGAGCCTGGGAATAGGGGCACAGCTGTAGGCTCATTATTACAGCCGTCCCCCACTTACTGTTTTAGCCACCCAAAAAGTTGCTCCCACTAAGAGAGGCCACGTAGCCCATTTGGGTGAGTGTTAGGAGTCGCTGCTTCCTTCTTGGCTGTTCTGCCTATGCCTCACTCAGTATCTCACTGGATCACTGGACACTGGGCCTGGAATCTGGAATATGGGATCAGCTGGTCCAGTGGTGGTTCAGCACCTCGGCAGCATCCCAGGCTGGATTGATCGCAGGGGTCAGGGTCTTTTGAAGAAGGAACCCCGTTTTCCAGAGGGGCAGTTAGGCTGAAGGTGAAGGCCTCTTTAGCCAGTAACTGGTGCCCAGGCCATCTGCCTACACCTCCCTCTCGCCCTTTTCTCTCCATAACCTGTCGACTTCCAGGTATTGGTTCCCAAGGTGATGTGAGCAGTTGTGGTAATGAATCTTGAAGCTCTTAGGAGTTGAGGTTTGAGAGAGATCCTGCCCTTTGGCCCCCGGCTGCCGCATGGCGCCCCGAAAGCAAAAACCTGCCCTGTCTCCTCAGATTGACCTTCAGAAGATGCCCTTGGGGAAGCTGAGCAAAAGGCAGATCCAGGCTGCGTACTCCATCCTCAGTGAGATCCAGCAGGTGAGTGGGGCAGGGGAGGCTGAGGTGGGCACAGCCCTGGTAAACCAGCCTGGTTGCTGCAGAGTGAAGACGGGTTATCCTCCCCCAAGTGTGTCCTTCAGAACCGAGCAAGGCTTGTTCTGTGTTACAGGGAAGTTATCGAATAGGAGCTGAGTGTTACCTTTGCTTGTCGTCAATCTCTTCAACCTCTTCCCAGAGCCCAAAGAGAGTTCCCCTTGTATTGTGGTGGTGGGGACAGATTTGCTAGGGAACACACAGAAGAACCCCCAAGCTCATGTAGGCCTGCCCTGGAAAGAGGGCCTGCCCACCTGGGCCCCACTGGGTTCTGCTCAGCCGGAGGTCCCCTGCCTCAGTGCTGCCTCCCGTGGGGGGTGGGGGGTGGGGGCTGGAAGAGCTGCCCCTGCACAGAGCAGGCTGCAGCTTACCCAGCTGCTGTGAGTTCAGGCCTGCGGTACCCCGCCCCCTCACACAGTGGCTGGGCCACCCTGCCCCCTCACACTCCTCCATGCCATGGCTGGGCTGCATCTGAGCCCTGTGGCCCTGCTGCCCACTCAATGTTTCTCTCGCCAGCTCCCTGGGCCTCCAACTGGAGGAATTCTCTGCTGTAAGTGGGAGGTTGCAAGTGTAAGGGGCAAGCCGGATCTTAGATCACTGGGTTCCTTCCCCTCCTCCTTGGGACAGATTTTCAAACCTGAAAAGCCTGGGCGTGTTTTATATCTAAACCCACAAGCCCACCTACTACCACCCCCAGATGTTTCCATGACCCTTCGCCCAGGGCTGAGGGGTCCCCACGTCCCGAATTAGTATTGCTCTCTGTACACATGACATGTCCTATGGGCAGTCCCAGAGCGCTGTGAGGTGTGAAGGCTGGGGATCCCACCCAGCCCGGGGCTGTGACCCCAGCAAGAAGGTCTAGCCTTGGCGGCTCCTGGCTTGAGTGGGCACCAGCCCCCACCTGCCAGGGGCTCAGCCTGGGTTCTTGTGGTCCCTCACGCAGGCTGTGTCCCAGGGGAGCAGCGACTCCCAGATCCTGGACCTCTCCAATCGCTTCTACACCCTCATCCCCCATGACTTCGGCATGAAGAAGCCGCCTCTCCTGAACAACGCGGACAGTGTGCAGGTAGCACCAAGGAAGAGTGGTGGGGGCTCAGGGCTGCGCGGCCGGTCTTCAGGGACGGTCCGTCCCCATTCTAACCCCACTGAACAGGGGCTGGTCCTGAGGGGCTGCCTTTCAGCCCGTGTTTTGGGTTTTTTTACCTCATCCCTTGGCTCTCAGGAATCACTTCCAGCAACGGAGCTCGGGCGGCCATTTGCAATGCCAGAGATCCAGCCAGGGTTGGCCTCGTGCACTGCCCTCACCTTAGTCCCTGGGCCGTCTCTGTCCCCGTGCCCTTACTTTGCGGTGGGGTTTCGGACTAAGGGCAGAGTGATGCTTCTCCCTACCTGTGCTACGCCTCCCAACCCTCCTGCCTCAGCGGGAGGCCAGTGACAAGACTGCGTGTGCAGGACACTTTACCCACTGTCACCATGTCCCCTCCAGCACTTTTCCCACAGGAGGAGATGCCTTCTTGGCATCCCAGGAAGCTTCGGCTGTGTTGGTCGTGGAGCACAGGGGCCAGGCTGCCCCAACCCTCTGGAGTGCCCCTTTCTAGAGCACATTCTTTTCTGGGACTGGATCTCCATTCCCCTCGGCCGGGCTCCTAGCGCTGGTTTTTCTCGCCTCCCCCAGGCCAAGGTGGAAATGCTGGACAACCTACTGGACATCGAGGTAGCCTACAGCCTGCTCCGGGCCAGCTCTGATGACACGGACAAGGACCCCATTGACATCAACTACGAGAAGCTTAAAACTGACATCAAGGTGACAGGGCCCCTCCCTGCCCTACGTGGTCTGAACCCCACAACTCAGAACATGGTTTCCCCAAGGTTGGCCGTGCTTTGGCTCTCCTGAAGAGTCTGTTCGGGCGGATCGCTGGCCACTCTTGGAGCAGTTGTGTGTGTGCCTGGCAGACTTCCTCACCAGGGCCTCGGAAGGCAGCAGGATTGGCTGGGAAGGGCTCCTAGAGAAAGTTCTCCTTTACCTGGGATATCTTGGGTTTTTTGTTTGTATTATTTTGTTTTGGGGGCCACACCCAGCGATATTCGGGTTACTCTTAGGTTAGTGCTCAGGAAGTTCTAGCAGTGCTCAGGAGGACCATATGGGATGCTGGAGATAACGGAACCTGGGTCAGCCATGGGTAAAGCAAGCACCCTACTTACTGTGCTATCACTCCAGCCTCTTTGAGACCATTTCTGTGTTTGGGGATTCATGTGATGACAGTACAGGTGTGCTGGCCACTGGCGTCCCCCCTCAGTGGTGGGGATATATATGCCCAGTGCCCAGCCCCAGCCGTGGCCACATTGGCATCCTGCTCACTGCTGCCGGGAGAGGGTCCTCAGTGCTCCCTGCTGCGCAGGGCTTAACTTGCTCCACAGAGCCTTTGCCCCTTGGTCACCTCAGAGCACATGTGGGGCCCAGACGGTACAGAACACCCAGTGTCACCTGCGTGACTGCGGGCACATCTCCTTTATGACGTTATTTTTTGATGGAGGTTTTCTCTGATAATCTGAAGCCTTTGGTTTGGTTTGTTTTGTTTTGTGCCACACCCCCCACTCAGTGCTCAGGGATCACTTCTGACTGTGCTCCCTGGTGCTCAGGGACCATCTGTGGTGCCTTGGGTCGGACCCAGGCCAGCCACATGCTAAACCAGCACCTTGCCCACTAGACTGTCTCTCCAGCTCCTGAAGCCTTTTCATTTTGCTTTTTGGGTCACACCCAGCGATGTTCAGGGCTTAACTCCTGGCTCTGCACTCAGGAATTACTCCTGGCAGTGCTCGGGGTACCATATGAGATACTGGGAATCAAACCCGGGTTGGCCACATGCAAGGCAAATGCCCTCCCCTCTGTGCTACCACTCCAGCTCCCCTTTTCATTTTGAAGCAGTGAGAAAGACCAGAATTCCTGGATTAAACTTCAGATATGATCATGAAAACAAGAACAGCCTAGCCTCAGCTAGGACACAGTTGTGTTGCTTTCGCGTTGAATCACGTGACCTGTGTGACGGGGTGGAGGCAGCTCAGCCGAAAGCTCTGGGCACACCGGCAGTGGTGCAGTCCGGGAGAGTGACCCCTGGCCCAGGCTTTTTGTGCTGGACCACAGGGTTGTCCCAGGCACCCATGAGGCCAGGGTGCTGCGCTAATGCCCAATACCTGCCTTCTAGGTGGTGGATAAAGACTCTGAGGAAGCCCAGACCATCAGGGCGTACGTCAAGAACACACACGCGACCACGCACAATGCCTATGACCTGGAAGTCCTGGATGTGAGTCTTCTCCTGCCTCGGTGCTCCCCCTCCTCCCCCTCCCCCCAGTGCTTTCCTCCAGCCTGGGCCAGCGGCAGGAGAGGGCCAAAGAACCTTTTGCTTGGCTTTAAATAACCTGAGGAAGTGACTCTTTTGTTTACTGAGGGGAAAAACTAGTAACGCTACGTTTGGGGGTGGCTCTTTTTATTTTTGATGAGAGGTACACCCAGCAGTGCTCGAGGATCATTCCTGGTGGTGCTCGGGGGACCATAGGCAGTGCCAGAGATTGAACTGGGGCTGGCAAATGCAAGGCACATGACTTATCCCTATACTATCTTTCCAACTGCCTTTTTCCTTAAATTTGGTGTGGGATAGGGGCTCCCAACCAGTGCTCAGAAGGCCCAGGGCCCCACCAGTGATGAGCTATTGCTTGCATCCTGTGGTACCAAGGTACCGGGACCACCATGGGGGCCCTAGGGCCGCCAGGGCTGTGCCCTGCAACGCTTGGGAGACCGAGTGTGGCTGGGATTCAGACCTGGGTTAGGTGCATGCTCGGCACACTCCCTAACCACTGTGCTACCTCACAGCTCCAATTCCTAACCCCTAAAGCTGGTGTGAGAATTAGAGTGTTACGGGGCCAGAGTGAACACCCCCCTGGTAAGGCATTTAAACACCTTGCACACACCTGATCCAGGTTTGATGCCTGGCACCCTATATGGTCCTCTGAGCCCCTGTTTTGAGTGGGGTATTCCTGGGACCCATGGTGTCACATTCTGTCCTGGCTGAGCCATACCCCTCCCATCCTAATCTCACCCCCCGCGTGTACACACCGACCTTTAGCTTGAAGCAGTGTGGACAGCACGCCACCTCTCATTTCTAGTCAGAGCTGCCTTTTATTTTCCCTCTGGGTCACACCCAGCAGTGCTCAAGGCTTCCTCCGCCCTCTGCTTGGGGACGGAACCCAGGTCGGCCACCTGCAACCCAAGCACCTTGAGCCATGTGCCCTCTCCAGCCCTCTGGTCAGATCTTTCGGGCGACAAGAGTCCCCGGTAGCCTCGCTCCTCTCTCACTTGTGTCCCACATCTCACCCCAGATATTCAAGATCGAGCGGGAAGGTGAGAACCAGCGCTACAAGCCCTTCAAGCAGCTTCATAACCGGAAGCTGCTGTGGCACGGTTCCAGGACCACCAACTTCGCGGGCATCCTGTCGCAGGGTCTGCGGATTGCCCCGCCGGAAGCCCCTGTGGTAGGTGCCTAGCCTAGGGCCATGTTCCCCCTCCATGGCTCCCTGGGCCAGTGGGATGGGGGCGCCTGTGGCCCCACTAAGCATGCGGCCTCTGGAACAAAAGCCAAGCGTCCAGGCCATAGGCCAAGCTGTGTTTAGACTTGGCCCCTCCCTTGCCACCCCCCCCCCCCCCCCAGCTGACCGCCAGGGACATCCCTGTCTCCCTCTTGAGAAATGTGCTGATGCCTGAGTGATACCCCGGCCAGGCGGCAGGACTCCTGCTGAGAGAGGCAGGTCTTGCAAAAGCCCTCTCATGGACACTTGTAGCAGGGAAGAAGCCCAGGGACAGCAGATACCCCCCAGTGACTTCCCCTCTCGACTTTTGAAGAAAATAGAACAGCAGCCAACCTGTGCAAGGGTTGGACCCATCCCTGTGCCAGGCTCCAGCCTGAGATGTGATTGGTTGACATATTTCATCTTCACGGCCGCTCTGTGAGGTTTGCCCCCCACCTCCCTCGGTTCTGAGAAGGAGGGTCCAGAGAAATTGTTGCCTCCTGCAGCCCAGCAGGATCTACAGGGCCTATCCAGGCAGGCACTCAGGCCATATGCTCACACCCAGGAGCGGAAGTGGGACATTGGACGTGGTATGGCTGAGGCGTCTGGGAGGAGGTTTTCACTGGTCCTTTCTCTTCCAGACAGGCTACATGTTCGGTAAAGGAATCTATTTCGCTGACATGGTCTCCAAGAGCGCTAACTACTGCCACACGTCTCAGGGAGACCCCGTCGGTTTGATCCTGCTGGGAGAAGTCGCCCTTGGAAATATGTGAGTTGGCTGTGGAGCTGGGCGACAGGCAGGGTGCGGGTGGGAGGGAGGAGGCACCCCTTGGCTGGGAGACAGCCTTGAACACGCCACCAGTTCCTGTTGGGAAGGCCTTCCCAGTCCCAAGGCAGGAAAGCCGCCCGCCTGGACATTGCCCTTCCCAGAGGCCCCGAGCCCTCCTGCCCCATTAAGTGTCCCGTTAGTGCTTCCATGGAGTTGAAAACTTCGCCAGTTCCCTGCCCCGCTCAGGCGCACTCATCGTTCCAGCCTGAATCCTGCATCCTGCTTGATCCTTCCTGCTGAGCACCTCAGAGCAGGGTGTAGTGATGTCGGGAGTGGGTAGGCTGGACAGAAAGTTCCAGGGCAGCAGGCAGGCCACAGCTCCTTACAGGCCCCCTCCGACTGTCCTCTCTCGAACAGGTATGAGCTGAAGCACTCTTTGCACATCAGCAAGTTACCCAAGGGCAAGCACAGTGTCAAAGGTAGGCACGCCCCAGTTCTGCCCCCCCCCCAACCCCCCGCAAGGCATCCCAACTTCCCTGCTTAAGTCTTCAACAGCTTGAGGCATATTTACCTTTGTTTACATCTTTGGGTTTTGGGGGGAGGGTCACACCTAGCAGTGCTTGGGGAACCATAGGTGGTGCCAGGGATTGAACCCAGGTCAGCCACATGCAAGACAAGCACCCTCCCCACTCTACTACCACTCCAATGCCTGGAGGTGTATTTAAAAGGCAGTTTGGGAAAGCCAGAGAGTCTGGCGCACATGCTTTGCATGCAGGAGGCCCAGGTTCATTCCCAGGCATCGTGTGAACATCCCCCTCCCCACCCTTGTATCAAACCGGGAACAGCTCCCCTATATAAGTCAGTTAAAATTATTTGGCTCTGACTGACCAATACTGCAAAGGTCAGCTGTGAGAGAGTCACCATGCTTCACTTGAGGGACCCGTTGTGGCACCAGGGTCCCGGAGCATCTTGGAGGACAGGAGCTGGCGCCAGGCGATGAATAATTGAGGGCCTCCAGCTGCCTGCTCAGCGTGCCTGCTCTGGGGTTCTGTGTAGCGACTCCGGGTTGTCAGGGGGCGGTTGCTGGCTATTTTTGTTAAGATTAGTTAACGCCAAGACCCTGGGAACTTGATTGTATACAACCCACTCTATTAATTAGGAAGAATTATGGGATGCCCATGCCTCTTAAATGAACACATCAAAACGACCACACCAGCATGGAACATTCTGGCTGCTGTTCTCACAGTTCATCTCTGTTGCCTTCTGCATTGCAGGTTTGGGCAAAACAACCCCTGATCCTTCGGCCAGTATTACCATGGACGGGGTCGAGGTGCCCCTGGGTTCCGGCGTTTCCTCTGGTGTTAACGACACCTGCCTTCTGTATAATGAGTATCCTTTCACGTGGCGGGGGATATGGGGGATGCTGGGATGGGCCCCCTGCTGCCCTTCCCAACTTGACACAGCTTCACTCACCTGGGAAAGTGGGGTGCCCTCAAATCGCCAGAGCCCAGAAATCCCTACACATCTGAGGTGGCTGGGCCCAGCTGTCTGTGGACAGGGACTTGGCCAGCAGCACCCCCAATTAGTGCCTATCTTATGCCTGCTTGGCAGGCCCCAGGCAGGCTCCTTGGTTAATCTTTCTAGCCAGGCTGGGCCCCAGAGGGGCCAGCAGAAGCAGGCCCATGTGCTTAACAGACAGGAATCCCAAGCCCGTGCTCCCAACTTCTCTGAGCAAAACAGGGCCTCAGCCTGCCAAGGCCCCCGCTCACCCTTCAGAACCATAGTTGCTGCTTCTCAGTTGGCCTGGGGCAAGCTTGTGAGACTCTGCTGTCACCAGGGTAACCTGAGTGGCTGCAGCCTGCTGGAGGCGGGAGACTGACTCCCCATGTGGGTGCTTGTGGTGTGGGGCTTCCCTGAGGAGTCCTCCCCGTACCGGGGACATACCTGGGTGAAACACCTGTTTGCTCCTTGACCAGCTCCCCCCTCCAGGTACATCATCTACGATATCGCTCAGGTAAATTTGAAGTATCTACTGAAGCTGAAATTCAATTATAAGACGTCCCTGTGGTGAACAGAGCCGCAGCCTGTGTGACACAGACTCGCCTGGGCCTCCATGCGGCCTCTCCCCAGGGGAGACTCCAGCCAGGCAGCGGAGGGGACAGACAAGCAACTCAAGTCTCCTTCCAGGGGTTTGACACTGTCACACGATCACATGTTCAATGATTGCCCAGCTCTCCAAGTTGGGTTTTGGGGGTGGGGGTGGTTCGGGGTTTTTTTTTTCCTGCCAGCTGTGACCCTGGTAGGTGCAACTGACAATAGACGTGAAGTTGGGCAGTGGTGGTTTCGGTTGTTTTCAGTTTTTTTCCCTTGTGTTCCACCATTAGTTTTAATTTTGGAGAAATGTTAAGCCTTTATTTTCAGGTTAATAAAAACTAATTTCATACTATTTTGGTTTTCTTTTCCTTTTCTTTTAATTTTTTTGTCGTCCTTTTAGTCTTCAGGTTTTGGTTTTGGTTTGGTTTGCGGTTTGTTTGGGTTTTGAGTTTTGGGTTTTTGTTGTTTTGAGAGGTTAGGATGGACAGATCCAAAGGAGGAACAGTTTCTCTACTCAACAAAAGTGCTTTCCTTTTCTAGAGACACTTGAATGTGGAAACTCGAAATATGCAGTAAATTCATAGTTGCACTTGAGATTCTCAACTTTTCCTATAAGCAATTTTGTCTTCCAAATTAAAGCTATGTCGCTAATATACCCAAGGGCTAATAGTTATTCTCCATTAAAGTGGAAATGCCTTTCATGTGTGTGTTTGGTGTGTGGTCTTACTCTGACTGGGGCATTCTGGTTTATCGCCACAGCCACGGTCCACAAAGTTCCCGGAGAGACTGCTCACACCTCTGCCTGTGAAGTCCCATTGTTACCGGGAAACTGGCTTGTTCCTGAATGGATGCTTGAATTTTTTCTTTTAATATATTATTTTGGAGGCCTGAGGGAACCACACCAAAGGAGCTTACTTCTGGCCCTGTGCTCCAGGACCACTCCTAGAGGGGCTCAGGGGACTGTTTGTGGTATTAGGAGTCAAACCAGACCAGCCATGAGCAAGTGCCTTTCCTGCTGTATTGTCTCCCACCACTGTAAAGTCTGAGGTCGTTACTGTGGTCTGGACCCTGCGCCTTGCTGGTATGTGCTGCTCTGTAGTCTGTCGCCAGGGCTCTGCATTCTGCCTCTCAGCGCCCCACGGTCCCTTCGCTTTTAGTCCCTTTGGCTGTGCTTTTTTTTGGTGGGGGCTGAGGGGAGCACACCCTGGATATTCAGGGGTTAACCCCTGACTGTGCTCAAGAATTACTCCTGATGCTGCTCAGGGAACTATATAGGATGTTGGGTGGAACCTGGGTGGCAGCATATAAGGTAAATGCCCTACTCTCTGTACTTAACCACTCTAGCCCCTTCACCTTTGACTTCTCTTTGTTCTCAGTCTCCATAGGTGAAAACCACCTTCCTACTCTCTACTAGGTCAGAGAGGCATTTCCTGATCTGTGTTTCCCTTTTTTGGAATTGTTTTTGTTCCTGGGCTACACCTGGCAGTACTCAGGGCTGACTCCTCTCCTGGCTCTGCTCAGGAATCCTGGTGGGGCTCAGGGGGCCATATGGGATGCTGGGGATCAGACCTGGCTGGGTTTGCTGCATGCAAGACAAATACCTTTCCACTGTACTATCACTCCTACCCTGTGTATCTCCCTTTTAAGTGCTCATTCCTTAATCTTATTTCCATGACCAGTCTGGCTCTTGGTTCATGTAGGCAAAATGGATTTCTTTGGGTTTTGTTTTTGGTCCATACCCGGTGATACTAAGGAATTACTTCTGATGGTGCTCAGGGAGGTACCTAGGAGGTTGGGGACTGAACCCAGATCAGGACATGCACGGCAAGCAGTTTGGTTTCTATTCTATGGCTCCATGCGCAGCAAGCACTTTAGCTGCTGTACTATGGTTTCTGCCCCACAAAATAGATTTTAAAGAACCAATTATCTTCCTCAGTTGCCTAGTGCCCTTCCCATCTGACCTCCACTAGACCTCCACCAGAATGTTCCTGATGCAGGCAGGGCAGCCTGAGGGGAGTGCCCTATCTCAGTGGCAGAAAAGCTCACCACAGCACAGTGTGACAGTGGCCCTATTACTATAGTATTGCTATTACTTCAACCTATTAGCCCCATGGTGCCCCTGAGCTGGTGTCAGCATCTTCAGTCTCAGGGTAATGTTTCACAAGCATCCTGTTGCATGGCTTTAAGGCTGGTGCTCAGAGGTTTATGCATGTTCCCCGAAACCCACACAGTGTCCTTGCATTTGACCTGTTAGGGAAGGGGAATGAGAATTCCAGACCAGACAAGTAGACACCGCCAACACATGGCAGCACAAGTATCTCAAGCCCAACGTGACACTGGGTTTTCAATGAGGGAAACGACAGATCATTCAAAGATAGCAAAGAAGAAAAGAAAGGGCTGGGGAGACAGCTCAACTGACTGGAGCCCATGTTTTGCATGCAAAAGACTGGGTTTCAGTCCTGAGCACTGCCAGCTGTGTCCCCAAAACCAAGGAAAAAGGTTCTCTATTAAATTCCATTAAAATCATTATAGTAACACAGGTACTAGGTTTGAACTCACTGTATCCTGAGCAGCCTTGTTCGACTTGCTTCAATTAAACTTGAAAGATGAGGGACCAGGGAGCCCCTCAGTAGGCTAAAAGTATGTTCACAGGCTGGCACCTCAAGAACTGGCAGGAATGGGGCCAGAGCAATAGTACGACAGGCAGGGCACCAGCTTTGTTTGACCAACCTGGGTTTGATCCCAGACATCCCATATGGTCCCGTGAGCACTACCAGGTATAACCAAAAGAAAAACATGAATCATACTAACCCAAGTTAAGGTATTAGATTTAAGGTATTAGATTTCAATTATAGAGCCCAGGTGAGCAAACTTGATAAAGTCCTATTTTTTTTTCTAGGGGAGGGGTGCATGGGTGGAGGAGATGATGAAGAACCCGCTAAGCAGGGTACAAGAGGTCTGGGGACCCCACCAGCCCAGCTAACTGGACCATTAGTTCAGGCAAGGGCCCAAGGATGCAATGCTGCTCTGGCCCTTACATGTTGGGGATACCCCAGACCACCCCAGTGGTGCTCTGGGGGCCTCTAGCAGTGCTCTGGAGATCATGTGATGCTGGGAATCGAATCCAGGTTGGACTCATGCTAAGCATGCTCCCTAGCCACTGTGCTGCCTCCTGCCTAAGTCATTTCTACCCAGTGATTGTACTGTCCATGAAAATCCTTTGAATCTTGGACCTGAGACTTTCCCAGTCATCCTGCCATTCATTAACCATCTTAAGCTCCCTGGATATCTTGCTTCATATCATATCTGCAGAGGAAGGTAAGTACCCCCACAGTCCCTGATTAAACAGTATTTTTAGATTGGAATGATTGCTTAATGGGTTCCCTGTAATCAACACTGATTTTTTGAAGGAGTCACAATTCTGAATCCATTTTGAGTAAAGAACAACCTTGTCAGGCAATACAGTGTCCTGTGCTGTGCTGTGCTGTGCTGTGCTGTGTTGTGTTGGGCTGTGCTGTGCTGTGCGGTACGTGAGAGAAGGCTGGCTGTAACCCTGGGGGCCTTCCTGAGGCTGCTGGAGCATCCTTGGAAGTAGCCGGTTGGGGCAGTGGTCTAGTGTTTTGTTTGGATCATGTTCAAATGGCTCAGGGCCAGACTTTTTTTCCTTTATTTTTTAGACCATAGTCAATGTAGCTCAGGGCTTACTCCTGACTCTGGGCTCATATCATTCTTGACAGTGCTCAGGGAAACATACATGTTGCCAGGGATCAAACCCCAGGTTGGTTGCATGCAAGGCAACTAAGTGCCTTACCAACTGTGCAATCTCTCCAGCCCCAGACCCACACTTTAAGAAACATCCATTTAATCTAATGTGTTAACCAGTAGAATGCGTATTGAGGTTCTCTCTCACAACCCTTTGGGTTTTTTTTTTTCTCACCACTGAGATCTGAACGTCAGAAATGCTTTGACCTGTTGAGCTGGTTTTGTTACCAAGATACTTAGGAATGTTGCATTCACCACAGTGGGTTAATTCCTTTCTCTTAAGTCCCATTTCAATTCCCTGGTTTTTGTTTTTGTTTTTTGTTTTCTTTTAAGGAATAATGCGGAGCTGGGGAGATAACACCAGGAACAAGAGCTCATACTTTGCATTAGTGGGATCCTGGTTTGATCCCAACACTACATGGTCCCCTGAACTCTTCTAGCACAGCTGAAGTGGTCCCCACAGCACTGCAGGGCCCGAGCAGCACCACAACCTTGGTCCTTAGCATTGCACCATTGACTAGTTAGCCAAGTACCACTGGAAGGGGTCCCTGGGCCCCTGAGAATTGTTTGGAAGACCCAGAATGAAGAATAAGTAAATAAGAGGCCAGAGTGATAGGACAGTGGGTAAGGTATTTGCCTTGCACAATGCTGACCTGGGTTCAATTCCCATCATCCCATAGGGTCCCCTGAGTACTCTCAGGAGTAATTCCTGAGTGCAGAACCAGGAGTAAGCCCTGAGCATCGCTGGATGTTACCAAAAAAAGCCAAGCAAACAAAGAGGTGCTTTTTCAAGTTCACATGCACTCTTGAACATTCTCTCTGTCGCTCTCGCTCGCTTGCTCACTCTCTCTTTTCTCTCTCTCAAAATAAGAAAATAAATTAACGTTTACACTGTTATTTCATTTCTTGGTTTTGGGGCCACACCTGGCGGTGCTCAGGGACTACTCCTGACTCTGCACTCAGGGACCACAACTGGCATGGGATCATATGGGATGCCAGGGATTGAATCTGTGTTGGCTGCATGCAAGGCTAGTGCTCTCCCGGCTTACTATCTCTCCAGATCCTTGATCTGTCTTGAATTGTATCTCCACGGCTTTCTCTCCTACAGCAAAGCACAGGTCTGGGAACCTAGGCGTGCACCAAGAGCTCCTCATACTCAACGCCACATTCCCTAGCCACCAGGTGCTTCCCATTCTTGAGTTCTGCAGGGTTGGAGATCTTAGTCCCTGAGAGAGAAAGGCTTAAAGGTTTCCCCAGAGACCCATCAAAGGTTCTGATGAAAGGTAGCATCTTCACCCACTGCCTGGGACCTCCGCACAGTCCACTGACCCGTGGTACAGAGACAGCGGTCACTCTTACGGTCAGCCCTCCTACCTACCTTCAGTTCTTGTAAATGCTATGTAATTCGCACACCAACCACAAGATGTCTTCCGTGTTAGATAGCTCATATATACATTTCTGCAATCCAACTCTGATATTAGCAGCAGAAATAGGAACCTCCACGACAGAGACAGCAACCCCTGTAGCCACACCTTTTCTCTCCTTTTGGGGGACCTTTTCTCTCCTTTTTGAGGAGGTGGGCCACGCCCA